CATGTACATTTACATGTTCAATATAGATAGATTGATTTTTGAAAACCACCGTAAACTTTATAAATATTGCACGTATAAAATGGTGTTATTCAGATTTTGGCAAAATTTATTCATAGCGCGTTATCTATACAAAATTCAATGCCATCGAATAGTATACATAAAATGCCTCTGGGTTCATAAAAAGTTTGTCGAGGAGAGAAAACGGAATTAACTTTCTTGTGCGATCACTAAAATTCAGGTAATCCCAGTTATATTATTAAAAATATTTAGATAAGTTCGAGAGACTATAAAATTCGACAAACGAATTATAAGTGTGTAAATATTTTCACACGGTTACATTATCTCTGTGAGAGCCTTGGCCATTTGTTTCCAGACTCCAGTAGTTTAATTAAAGCATTGATAGCGCCACCGAAAGATATTTCGGATAAATGACTTCTGATTGTATGCGTTTCAATATTGTTCCTCGATACTGAGCCTACAATCTTACAAACGCTATTGACAAAAATTACAATTTCTTTAACATTTTTATGTTAATGTTAGGTGTACGAATTATTCCAGTATCATTTATTCAAACATTTTATACACCTTGTGTTACGTAAAAAGCTACCAATGCAGAACCTAGCATCGATAATCAATTGCTTTCGGCTCTTAGTTATCTCAACTTCAGTCGAGATTTGTTCATCCGCATTTCTTGATTGAAATGTGATGATTTCAACGAAACGATTAATTGTAATTATTTGAAATTGTCCGTAAATAGACCGAACGGGTTGATATAAATTTAATTCGCGCATTTCAGAGATATCACACTACATCATTCCTCCAAAAGCTGTCGTGTTGTGTGTTTATAGGTATGTTATCTCCGATGCTACATAAAAGTTCACAGCCTCCGCGCTTGTGGTGCCATTCACTTGCGCCACCGCATTTTCTCTTCTTAATAGAAATAGTTGATATTTTGAGTTCATCATCATTGTCCAAATATTTCTGTTATTGCTCTAAAACTTGGTACTAATTTTTGGCCGAGGTAAAATTTTTTCAGGCTTTTGCTTTGATTTGCTTTAAGAATTGTTCAAGCGCGATCGAGAAGAAAAGACCTAATAAAGTATTGAAGATTGCATCATACTTTGAATGTTTAACTGCTACACAAATGCCGAGGGATCAAGTTGGTTTATGAAACCACATTGTATATGTGCAAACTATGATAATCCATTAAAATAGAACGGCTATAAGTTGGAATTTAAATGATTTTTCAACATGAGGACTGGTTGAACATCTTACACGAAAATCAAATAGAAGAAACCAGAAATACAAAACAAAATTTGTGTTTGAATATACGTAGATAAAGTTATCGTCATAATAAAGAATCGTTGAAGTTAATCGCCTGTGGGTATGCGGAAGTAACGGATTTAGAAATTCATTTCCAGTTTCGTGGAAAATTTGAGTATTTCGTGAAGTTTTATATAATTATTCAGCGCATTTGCGTTGAAGAAACCGTCCCAAAGAGATTTACTGCAGCCAATTCTGAGCGGCATAATCAGTTCTAAACACCGGGTTGAGGAGTCATGAACCCGGAAGTTTTGTTACAGCTGGAGTCAAGCTTACCATAAAAGTCGGAACTACCTGACATTTTAGTGTGTTCGATCTGCAGTTGATTTAAAAAGTTGTCTGGGTCGACTCAGTCCTTGGTAGCCTGCAGCTTAGACAACACATGACAAGGATTGCGTCATCCCACGAACTATTTCTGACAAAAAATTGTCCGGGCAAGGATAAAGTAGTAGTCGGTAGTACATGATCGCGCCATGCGTCGGGTGGTGCATGGACGCATGGTAACAACGCAGATTCCTGACAATCCTGACATTCTAACCCTGACAAATATTCAGTCCTGACGTGGTATATCCACGGCTATGCTGCAACTTATGTATTGTGTAAATGGTGATATCGGTTAAAAATTAGGGTTAAAGATATATTTGTAAAATATAATACTATTGCACAGCTGATTGCAGTTTTCAAACATAAAACATACGCTCACCGATTTAAAATGAGACCAAAACAAACTACTGCCTCATTTAAGAACAAAACAAGCCTCTCAGCGCGCATCGCTATTTCGAATATCCATGTAGCCTACTTCTCGATCAAAATAGCTCCATCAAAATAGTGGGTTATTTAATTGTGTTTGGTGGCATTTCCTGCGACGCTCAGAATAGAATTACGTAATTACTGAACTGAAATCAGTGTAATTACACAACACAATATGGCGATTCCAGCTTTCACACTGCAGTAGCCCACAGCCGCTAAAAAATATCGCCACCACTAAACTACATGTGACCAAATATTTCCTGAGAACATTTTCGTTGTGGAGCCGAATGCAATAGACTATATTTATTGAAAGCTAGAAGTCATAAGCATTGGGGAGTAATGTTGAACATCGCTGCGATTCGCACGTATGTCACGAATCCCAGACCAGATTTAAAATAGATTTGTGGTTTGGATTTCCTTTTGTCTAGTCTAGTGCAATGAATATAAATAACTAACTGACGCGTGTACATTGGCTCATACGAGAAAATACACGGATTTATTGGAAATTTGAAAAATAGACAACTACGGTGTCATTGCGTAAGTTATTTTGGTCGTAATTGGAAAATGTATTGGCCAATTAGGCACAAGACTATATAAGAGTATTTCCCGCGTATGCAGTCATGAATGTCAGTGAACGTCAACAAAAATATGCTGTTTTAGTTAAAAAAGTCATATTTCTTCGATTCACTTGAACTATCAAAGTTTACCACGTTCAAATATACGAACTTGTAAGTTGAGTTCCCCCTAACAACAATTTGATAGTTTTACCATATTATGCTCTTTTTCCCAATCCCAGAACTGTATGTCAGTGCGTCACCATGATTCTTAGACAGAAAGAAGAATACATTGAGATTATATAATTTATGTTCGATTAATTAGAATTCACATTAAGTAAAAGATATATATATATATATAGGTATAAATTGATTCATTCAATTAATACAAAAAGGCTCAGTAGGATCGCGAAAACATTGAAGAAACCTTGGAGTCGGAGACGATAAAGTGGGCACGTTGACTATGAAGAATGAAAAATCTAATGTGATATCGAGCAAACGCAAAGTAACACCAAATTCGCCTGTAAATAAGCGAAATGCATTCGGATTTATTTGCAACCTGCGAGCGCCACCGTTCGGCAACCTCAATCAAACAAAGTCAAAAAGGATTATTGATAACAAGCCAGGAAAGTCAATTTTCAGTCAATCGTTCAAGAATAGAGTACAAAAATATTATACAATTTATTAACTATTATATGCGGCGTATTTTTACTTCTACTGTCATATTTAGGTCATTACCCTCTCGATTTTCAGGGTGAATAAACTTGAATAGCTCAAAGCTGACTTACGGGTTCTTTCTCCTCAGCGTACTGTAATTTAACTTTGTCTATTTCATACATAATTCGCTTTTGTTTTAATGAATTTTATATTTCATGCTATTATTATTATTTCATCATGTTATTCTGCCGTATGGGTGTATAAGCATTCAATTAAAATTAAATATAGCTATACAATCACACAAAAACTTTGCATTACATCCCTCTTTATGAACTTCCTTAATTTTTCGAAGCTTATTTTTATGAACGGAATCCATGACGCGATCCATGTGTAGTTCTAGCTGTCAACCAATCATATTATCCAATACTTATCAACTTACTGCTATGGATATTTGTACGAGTGCAAATTGCCATCATTAATTATTTGTTTTCTGCGCTCGGAAGACGTACCTCGGCTTCTGTTGTCGGCACAGGTACTATAACGGTCGTACAAATATGAGATCGTTTGTGTTATATTTCGCAATTTGTTCTTCAATTGTATTGAATATTTTTATATGTTCTGTCACCGCTGATGCAAATGGTGGAACGGACTGCGCAGGTAAAAAATTTAAATGTTTTATTGGCCTATTTTACATCAAGTTGTGTAAAGGGACGAAAAGTTAGGGGCAGGGGGTAAATTCACTTGGCTAACACAGACAGCCCCCGAACTCGTAATAGAACTAAAATAAAGAAAATTGAAATAAAATTATACCTTAACTGGTACACACAATTCGGGAGTACCAGATTGCTTACCTCAAATTAAACCATGAGAATCAGAAAATATTGATTATATATAATATATGTTGAATTTGAGAATTTTAGCAGCTTCATTTATAAGATATGAAATAGTGGAGAGGCTGAATTATTTTTAAGATATAACAATGAACAGTCGCGGCCCGCGCTTTTCGGATATTGTGTTTCCTGTTACTTGATTCGGCATAGGCTTTAATTATTACTTTCATTGAAATTATTTCATGGAGTTGTATAAACGTTATCACAATCCGAGTAACCAACAAACGCATTTCAACAATTTATAGGTTTTGTAGAAACTGCACTTTATTATAAAGATTTGATTGCCATTTTGGCACGAATTCATTTTTGTCTGTTTCAGTTATTAGCTAGCCCGCAAGTCTTTCTTGAAAGTGACTGTGAATAACATGATGTTTTTACACTTCTTCAGAAGGCCTCGCCATGTCTGCTGAGTGCTGGGCTCCAAAGGCTGTATGTTTAGTATTGAAACGCATAAATTGGGGCATAAATAAAAGAAAGTGGAAAACAATCTTAAGGCCGTTATAGTAAACAAAATTTTGTTAAGATTAGTCGTTAACAAAACTTAATTATACTTCATACTATTGACAGAACGATTTTACCTCTTCACGGTATTGGTTTAATAAAGCTAAACTGAGAAGTAGTCAATTAGCAACGTTGATTGTGAAAACCGACTTAAACATGTAAATATGGCAAGTTCAGTCACAGTAAAGTTTTATTTTTCAGTCGAACGAAACAAGATATAATTTATTATAAATTGTCATTGTGGTCAAAATCAAGACCTAATTCCACTTTCTTTTAGGGTAAAGTTGTTACACGAAGAGCATATGCCGCCATGTGTATGTACAATATGCCAAATATAGGTATTGCTAATATTTTCATAAGGTAAATTGATCAAGTATCTCCTATTATCTTACGACAGATGTGAGATTCCCAAGGCGCTAAAGAGGCATTGATATATCAGTTAGAAATTATTCTTGCTGCCAAGCATGAGGAATAAATAATTTGAGTTAAGCCCATAGATAGGGGAGTTTAAAACACGAATATACAGTACATAAAACAAATATATACAGGACAATAACACATTATGTTCCCATACATTTTATTAACGCCCAGCAAACCAATAAATACCAACAAACGTTATTCTTTTATTGAATTGCTGACAAATAAAACTCTTCAATAAGATAACAGAAGGCCTACATTATTGAATATTTGCACATCGATTGTCATAATATGTGATCATGTTATGTTAGAAACCACTGAGATGCAGAAGCGCTTGAGTCATATTTTGAAAAGTGACATGCGGTGTATCGCTATTCTTCTTTGTGGTAGGCTGTCGTAATTGTGTTTCGATCTGACTGTTTTTGTGGACTAGGGGGTCATCTGTAATAAATGCTGATTGCTGAATAATATATAAAGCTTCCTACGTTATTCAGGAAGTTATTACACATAATATTATCTACCATCTCTTTAACCAGGATGCGTTCTCATCATCGGCCTCGTGGAACAAGTTGCTCAAGTTCATGCAATAGATATTGTGACAGCAGCCGATATGCTGTGTAGCTATCTACCATCACCTTTATCCACGGCTTGCGATGCTTTGTTGGATGAATTTGGGCCAAGTTTAGTGGATATGATATATCACAAGGAAACTCCAGATTTGATTTGCCATGATGTGAGTATTCAAGTAATATCTAGATTCGAACGATACCTATAGTTTCATGTTATATGGTGAAATTCACAGCCTTCCTGACTTGAGTCTACATTGACGCACTATGCGCAACAAATTGTTATGTCACTAAATGGATAATTTCAAAAACCTAATTTGCGTGTCTCTAATCTTATAATCTCGTTATGATATTGTTAGATCAAAAACGGTTGTTGACATATATATGTAATAAATACTATGGCTCGTAAAACTTTATATCAAACCTGTTTTTGAATGCATAAAATTCAAAACAAAGAAAGCATCCTCCCGGTTTCTTTTTTAGAACCTGATCATATGTTTATCGTTTGGATTTTATCAACCAGCAAAGCAAGCCAAACAATTCTCATTATAAAAGAATGTCGTTCTTTGATATTGTATTGTAAGAGCAACATCATGATATCGCAGAATGAGTCTTACATCTTCCACATTTCGCCAATTTTTCATTCTTGCTGAGGCGGAGAGAATTGGTTGATCGATCAACAACAACCAAGACTTCAACTCCTCATCTTCAGCCTACTATCATACCATAATTATAATTCAATACCCTTCACCCACTTGGTTTAAATACATTCATACTCATATCATAACAAGGGTTATGAATTGATGGCTATAATAAATTTGACCATGCCTAATTTCCACCCTTTTGTTTTAGATTGGTTTCTGCACCCAAGATCCAGGTAAAAATTATTGTCACCTATTTCCAATGCCTTCAAAATTTCGATCAAGCCCAGGTAGGCCAATCAGCTCGTCGTTTTCCTCAAGAAGACTTGTTTCACCTTATTATCAACTTCCCCAGCAAAGACTTAAAATCTGCGATATTCCAGAAGTGAAAGAAATATGTGATCTGATTAATAGGTGATTAATGCGTATCATAATAACAGAGTAACTATGCGATTCGAATACAGCATTCCTCGACTCCTCTTTGAAAAGTTCTCGACTAAATGTTTTGCAACTAGTAAGTAGTAATCATCCACACGACTCCCCAGAAATCTTTTTCATTCTAATATTAATTAAAAACATTGCTATACTAACGTTTTTGCACGATTTGAGGAAGAGTAATGTAATCAATAGCAAAAAGTTAGAATTGTACATACTTGTTGAATTGTACCTCAATGGCTATATCCACGGCGTGACATTCACGTGCCAAACATTTTTATGCGTTTGGTAGTTGGAAACAACGTTGACACAACATATATCTCACCCACTGAAATGGGTAAACTTTTGGATTACCTCTTGGATAAACAATATGTAACGAGAGTATGTTTGGACTATAAAAAATGACAAAACGGATCGCAAATCGAATGATAAAATTACTCCCGGACGCCGGTCGATTTAAGGTATCGCAGTCAGGCGTTTGGTTCAAATTCTACGCTCATAACAATCCTGATGATACTAGAGGGAAGGATAGGTTCACAGAACTTTTAGACCAAACTGATTTGATTCAACTCATCGAAACGTCTACAAAAAGGTTAGCACTGCTGATTTCGTCCGGTGTAAACATAAGCAGTTTGAGTTTGTGATCCCCCCGCAATCTCTGAATACCGCACTTTTGTTTCCAACTATGCAGCGCCACCAAATGTTCGCATACCGGATCCCTGTTTTTTTTAGTGGATAATTCACAGGTTTTACTAATACAATTCTTCTTGTCACTAATACGTCACATTCGCTTCATCAACGATTTATCACGTGGGACTGCATTTGATGGATATGTTGCGTCGTCATTTGCAAATAGTATATTATCAACGATGAGATTCGAACACAATGGATTGGCCTCTTTCACCAGACTCTTCCTTGGTGCTAATCCAAACTTGATTTAAAAACTAGGCCTGAAGTTCATTACTAAATCTTAACCGATTCGATTATTTCTTGGCAGATTTTCTGACGATCATCTGCCAATTGAAGACGAAGACGACGACAAATTTAGTCAAGATGTCGGTGTGTTACGTGGTTTTATGTGGAGAGGAAGAGATTGTAATGACAGAAAACCCGAACATTACCCGGGAAGAATTCCCTTGAATAAAGACAAGGTTGAAGACTCAAACTGTAATGGAATTTACGTAAGATCATACTTTATATACTATATATATATTTAAATTGGATATATAGATGAACAATGGTTTGATCTATTTTAGCTCTTGATTTTCCAACATTTTTCTTATTCAACTCACTGTTATTATTCAACCTACCGTACCCAGGGTGTTGATTCTACTAGCGGAACTTCATTTGAAGATCTTTATTGCAACAAGACGCAACAAAGAAGTATAATTATACTAGGAGATTCTGCTGGCGCTCATTTTAGAATCCCTCAACAATATTTGACTGCGGCAACATTGAGTGAGGTCGTACACTTTTGCATACACAATTTGTATTTTGTTTAAGTAAAGCTATTAGGTCAAAGTAGACGTGTTCGAATTTTTACAAAATACTTTGTAGATCAACAGGGGTCTATTGTCAAATACCCAAAAGAATTAGCCAAACGAGAGTTCGCGTTCGCACATTATATTATAGCATATAGTCACTGGTGAATGAGATGAATAAAAGCTTGTTCTTCTTTAAAATTGATGAATTTACTTCGCAAAGAAAGATGTTCCCTTATATTATTTTACATACTGAGCGCATGGGAAACAAAACTTGAAATATATTTTGATCTTATTTATAAATATTCTTTTTCCGTAACAGAAAACATTTGAAGATGTTCTAGTACTGTTGGCCAACGAAGGAGATTGGCCAATGCTGTCATCGACAACTGGTAATACTTAATCATTTTCAGACGCTAAAATTTGAATGGAATAACTCCATGCGCAACCCAAATCTAAGGTTAAGAATTCAAAATAAAGCCTTACGGAAATGTAGAAAGTCCTGGTTTCTTAAAAAAATGGGACCTGTATACTTACTAACTAGGAATTCTTTATTTTGCACCATCAAACGCTGAAATACGATATGAGTGTATCGAAAAATATACGCCTTGGTCTGTGAACGATTTATATGTAAGTGATGAAAATATTTCTTCTTGCTTCAACACACATTCTAACTTTCAACGGAACGATTTTACTCATAAATGTTATAATCTTCATTCTTCATAATGACATGACTTTCAAATTACATTATATGACTACAGGTAATTTTGATTAAACATTATTTATTGTCAGCTTACAGCACCACAAACTCCTGGCCAGAATCAGTTCAAGGGCCTATTGATTCACTTTACCTTCGACTGAGAAATCATAATCTATGCAACCATAGAGATTATCAAAACATTGGCGTAAACGGTGCAAGATCAAGTTCAATGAATGATATTGTGAAATCAATTGGAAAAAATCAAGCATTAGACAAACCAGCGATTGTTGTTCTAGCATTGATAGGAAATGATGTTTGTAATGGGTAATAAATCTATAATATTGTATATCCTTCATTCATGTTACTCAATATGATTCCGATAACCTTGTTCCAGATATACGAATACTTTTAAATATATTTAAAATAAATATAATATCAAATACCAAATATATAGATAAAGATATGAACTTTATGAACAACCCTGTTTAATCTTGAATAGAATGAACATAGTTGAATATCGTTATCATTTTTATACTCATATGCAAAGTAGACAGATTTTCAGTAAGAAGATGGAGTAATTCATGTCAGTATGTTTAATCAGCCTGCACGTATAAAACGTTTGTCGTATGATGGTGAACCGTTAGACTGCAATTATCAGTCAAGAACATATGTAGTAAAGTTCTGAACTTCTCTAGGGTATAACATACACCAAATTGAATAACCTTGTCGGTATTTTCAATTTTAATTTCACGTATATACGTGGTTTTATTTAATAATAGACTAAATTTCCTCGCGCTAAATAATACCCAGAACGTTTTTTTGCAATATTTATCACCATTTTATTTTTACTCATGTGCACTATTTTAACTTAATAAATTCATGTTAAATTTTTGTTTCAAAGACATATAGATACGATCGCGCACATGACAACTGCTGCTGAATTTCATACAAACACAATGGTCACACTCAAATACCTCGATACAGTTTTACCCAACGGAAGCTCAGTTATTATTAGCGGATTGGCAGATGGTCGAGTATTATGGGATACTTTGTCACAGAGGTAAGGGTGATTTAAATTTCAATAGTTAAGGGTATGCAGAAATATTCTGATCTAGGAAAATGGAAGCAGCCTTTAGTCTGTCTTGAAAATTAATTCTCAAAGTTCTCTCCTTTTTTACGATTATTAACGGATACCGATTCTAAGAAACGTGACGAAGATTATGTAACAAATCTTATGGTAGGATTACTAATAATAGGACAACATGAATCAGTTCTCGGTTCTAAAAAAACTAATGAACTTGTCGTCAGTTGCGCATACGTCATTGTGAATTAGAAGAAAAAAAACTACTGCTTGGAGAGAAACGATACGCCAGTGTTTCCTAACATCGTTTGATCGAACCCCTGGGAGCTGGTCCAAGGGTTCAACGATAGTTATCTGAAACATTTGTATGTCATAAAGTAATTCCATTATCCAGCTATCAATCATGTGAAAATAACTTTATATTACAGGTTACAGCAGATATTCAAATTTCCCTTCTCAAAGAAGCTTAAATATGTATAGTTACGCACAGATATATATAAGTTTTCCTGAACCTCACAATGATTAATATCAGCGCACTTTATCGAAACTTTGTAGTATCATCGCAGATTTTGCACGTTTGGGTGTATTTTTGTATATGATAGCGTTTTTAGATGCTTTTTGCCTATAGCTCCGAAATATTTTAAATTGTTATTACAAACATCGAGGTATGACTACTTACAAGCATGGATTCTTATATGATTACTAAATTTTCGATTCCTCGACATATCTTACCGAGAAAACATACCCACTTAAACAACACTATATGAAATCAAACACGGGAGCTATGTTCAAATATGTGGAAGGACAAGAAGGGCAAAACTAAGTAGTATGGGTATCCAATCTATCACGGTAGACAGAATTGAACAAAAAAAAAACGAATCCCTCAGAACCCACAGAGACTTTTGAAATAAATAAACGTAACAGCCTTCTAGCGAAAAATACATATATATATATATAACGAATCGAATCCAGACTCGATTCCGCCATCCCTATTCTCATTATCGTTTCAGCTTTCGGATCTCCAAAGTTGCATCTATTGCCTTTCCCCTTTCCATTCACACAATCCATACAAAATAAAACATTTCTCTGCTAACGAGTCCCGTGCCACAGGGTAACGAAAGGGTTTGACACGTTCGCAAAGGTTATGAACCAACTGCAATACGCAATCAAATCTCAGTGACGTGACATGTTAGGTTGCGATGTGAAATGAACATAAATCAGTTAATTAATTAATATAAATAGAGCAATCGGCTATTCCTGCGGCCTATATAGTACCTTATTTGGATATACATTATTGATAATGGTTATATTTAAAAAAAAATTCACAATTAGTCGCAAAACTTTTCCATGACACTTAAAATATCTTTATGCTCACATAACAATTCCTTGAACAGATATCACCCAATTGGTCAACTCAACAAAGATGTTACGTATCAGAACTTATACGACTATTTGAATTGTCTGGAAGTGTCCCCGTGTACCGGATGGATGAATAGCAACACTACTTTACGTAACTTTACTTCACAGGTAAGATTACGTCATTTGTTATCACGTGACCATGTGTGAATGATATTAACGTTTATAGGAGTCACTAACTCTAAACTTAACACCAACGCGAATTATTTTAGCAAATTATATCCGACACAGGAAACCACTTAAACACGTAATGTAATAATAAGTGGCTTCGATAACTCTCGTGAAAATTATCACTTTCCATTTATTTTACATCAGTCAGTAACTAAGCATGTGCCACATATAACCCGCAAAGTAAAGTCTGGACTACTTTTTATTATTTCAGGCAGTAGCATAGTAGGCTACTGTATTAGTCATCGAAATAAATATTAAACACTCAGTTACAACGTTTGGGGTATGGTAAAGCAACGCCGAGCCGTAGCTGTTACGTCACGATCCACAAGATCCAAGTATTATTGTTTGGCAATAATATTGTTGCCACATGTGGGCGCTGTTAAGTCGAGTTCGCCGCCATTAATGGATATTGCACCATACTTTGCTGCTGTTTTGCTGCCAAGTCAAGTTTTTAAAGTTTCTTTGTGTTGGTATTATTGTGATTTAATTATTGCTGTTTATTGTGTTTATCTTGTAGATGACTTAGACATCTAAATAAGTTAGTTACTGGATTTTATTGGGTTGTTGCCCTTGGTGTTAAGATATTGTGCCGTACATTTGTTACTGTGAAGAAAGTGTACTGATGTTTCCAGAATGTATTATGCAATGATTTTTGGGTAAGAATGCTAGTACTTTAAGTTGCATAATTTGAAGTTCACTGATGTATGTGTATTAAATATTGTCATTGTTAACAGATTGTGAAGTATTCTCGTGGATTCACAAAGTTTTCTTACCCGGTGTCATAAATATTATCGGTATGTTATTTATATTTGGATCATTGCTGAATTTGGTATTATTTAGTTTTATAAGTGTTCTAAGACATGTTATTTTGTTTTAGAAAACCGTCTTCCATCTTTCATTTCCATCTATTGTGATGTTTGTGTATTGCTGAGCATTTCATGTTATGCTATCAATTCTTCGAATTACAATTTCATTACAAGTTTTCAACAATTGGTTGTGTTTGGACAAGGATTTGGGAGATGCGTTTTCGATTTGTTAGTTTTCTCTATGTGACACCTTGTGCTACCGGGTCACGTTGAAAGGGAGGTTACATAAAGTTTTCGATAATATAGAATTATCGATATCACATGAATAACACAATTCTGAACAGAATCTAATTATCGAATAAAGCAACAACATAACTTTTTGAAGATGTGAAGTTCAGACTCCAGTCAACGTTTGATTTTTGAAATATTGGAAGGTCGACTGAAAGACTTGTATTTAAGGGTCGAATCCCTTATGATGGATCGCAAAAATGCTGTTTCTGTTCAGGAATTGTCGAAGCACATTTCTGAAACATTTCAGGCACTCATGAAATTCTGTAGTGAGAATCCATCTGCAATTTTTGAGCACAATGCAAATTGGATGGAAAGTATTGAACAGAATCAGGCAGAATTTGATAGTAGAGTGCAGCAATGGCTGCTGGCTGTAGTCAAAGCAGCAGCAGATCAGTTTTCTCAATTGGAGAAATCAACACAGTCTAGTCATCCTTCAAGTGCAAGTTCACGATCAAGTTATCGAAGAGCAGAAGCTAAAGTAAAAGCTAAATTGGCTCGATTGGAACTTGAAAAGATTAAACGTAAACATGAGCTCCAAAACAGAATAAATCAAATCCACCAGTCAATAGAAATGTTGGATTCGGAACACAAAGTTCAAACGGCTGATGCCGAAGAAGAGTTTTGGGAGCAGTCCACTAGTTCAGATCGAATGAATGTTGATGTCACGGATAATCGTTTTTCGAAGGATGTGAGACATGTGGGTTCAGAGAAGGCCAATAGAAAAGTGCTAGAAGTTGGCATGGTAGCCAACAAAACCACATGTGAAAGCTTACATCTTGTGCAGAGTACACCTGTTTATGCACAGTCTAACGTTGGCTGTGCTGTGGGCAAAATTGATGCCGGTACTCTGGCAATGGCTGTTGAAGATTATCCTGTCAATACTGAATCAAAATCTGTACTAGATGATAAACCGAGTGCTGGGGTAAATGGCCCTGTAGTGCCTCGAGTGTTGGATTTACTTGTTCCAAGCAAATTTGAAGATGGAAAACAGGACAATAGAATTCCTGCTATGTATATTCCAAATCAGTCAGTGGTTACAAATAACCCTGATCAGGCAAGTGTTAATAAGACTTGTCAACCGGCCAGTGGTAGGCCTCCGGATTCTTCTCAATCATTGTCAAATGATGTTATGACATTGATCAAGCATTTGAATAGACCAAAACCCGAAGTTTTATATTTTTCTGGTGATTCCACGAATTATCATATGTTCAGGCGTAATTTTGCTGCTCAAATTGATGAAAATGTTGATAGTTATGCTGCCAGATTGTCATATCTACTCCAGCATTGTACCGGAGAAGCACGAAAGCTCATTCAGTCATGTGCCAAGCTTGATCCAGAGGAAGGATACCAAAAAGCAATTAAACTGCTTGAGAAAAATTATGGTAGAACACATGAGGTAGTTCATTCATGTGTGAAAAAGGTGGTTGATGGACCACAGATAAAATTCAATGACCATGAAAAGCTTAAAGAATTTGTTCGCACATTGGAAGATTGCAAACTCACTTTGAAAGGCATAAACAAAGAGAATGAAATGGACAATCTACAAATTTTGGCTAGAGCATCAAATCGCCTATTTCCTAGTATGAGAATGGCTTGGAAACGTAGAGTGGGGAAGATAATAGCGAGAGATGAAGAACCATCTTTCCAAGATTTCATTGAGTTTGTGACTGAAGAAGAAACTGCAGTCAATTCATCCTTTAGTCAAATGATGGATGATTATGTGAGTGTTGTTGAGAAACCAATGAAAACTTCTCGAATTAGAACAATGGCACACAATGTCACCGAAACTGTATCAGAGAAAAAGATGCAGTTGTCATCTTCAGGTGAGCATACAAGAACTAAATGCATGTATTGTTCGATGCATCATGATCTGTCAAAATGTGAAAAGTTCAAGAAGAAGCCAATTGTGGAGCGAATTAAATTCATGAGGGTGCGTCGACTCTGCTATATTTGTCTGAAATATGGACACGTTGCCAGTATGTGCAGATCTAAGCTTTCATGTGGAGTGGATGGATGCACTGCAAAGCATAACAGACTTATTCATCGTTCATTTCAGGAAAATAATGAACCGGATCAAGAACAGTCTACTAATGGTGAGAAAGAAAACATTTCTCCAGCTTCCATGCCAGAATCAAGCTTGTGTCAGGCCACAGAAAGTAATAGGTCCGTGTATTTTTGTATTGTGCCTGTGAAGGTATCCGGTAATGACCGAGAAGTGGAGACATATGCATTTTTAGATGTTGGCTCAGCAATAACATTGTGCTCAGACAAACTGATTGACATGCTTGGATTACATCGGGAGCCAGCTGATATTTCATTAACAACTGTGAATGGTGAGTCAAAGATACACAGGGGGTCAAAAGTTCAATTGCGGGTTGAATCTTGTGATAGCAAGGAAGTTATGGATTTGCCTGAAGTGTTTTCAATTGACAAATTACCTGTGAAAGCAAATGCTCCGTTATCAATGAATGACAAGAACAGAATGGCACATCTAAGAGGGTTGAATTTATCTAACATTGACAATGCTGAAGTACTACTAATGATTGGTGCCAATGTACCAGAAGCTTTTTGTGTACAAGAAGTGAGACGAGGTCGTCCAAGACAGCCTATAGCTTGGAAAACTCCATTTGGTTGGACATTGATTGGTCCAAAAATTGAAAGGTCAGAATTGTTATCTTTCAATGTCAATTTTATAAAAAATGATCAAAATGACTTACTGCAAATGCAACTTGAGAGAATGTGGAAAACAGATTTCATTGATTCACAAAAAATGTCAGATACTGCTATGTCTCGAGAAGATAGGTATGCTCTTAATTTGATGCATGAGGCAATTAAATTTGAAAATGGTCACTATCAATTACCTCTATTGTGGCGTCCTCATGCGAGAACTTTGCCAAATAATCGTGATTTGGCTATGTCTCGATTGTCATGCCTTAAGCGAAAACTGGTTCGCGATGATGATCTACGTTTGAAATATGTAGAAATAGTTCAAGATTACATAGCGAAAGGCTATGCAGAAAAGGTGACAAAATGCAATTTGAAAGAGTGCAATCAGATATGGTATATTCCTCATTTTTGTGTTGTACATCCACAAAAACTAAAACCAAGAGTTGTATTTGATGGAGCATGTCAGTATCGTGGCTACTCATTAAATGAGTCTTTGTTGAGTGGCCCAGATTTGGCAAGCTCATTAACCGGTGTTCTTATGAGATTCCGCCAGGAGCGGATTGCTCTAGTAGCAGACATAGAGGCGATGTTTCATCAGATTCATGTTGATCCGAAAGACAGAGATGCTCTCAGATTCTTGTGGTGGCCTGGTGGAGATATGTCAAAAGAGCCTATTGGTCATAGAATGACTGTACATTTGTTTGGCTCAAAGAGTTCACCCACTGTTGCTAACTTTTGTCTGAAAAGAGTCGCCCAGGACTTTGGAGGGGAGTTTGACACTGATGTTATCGAAGCCATTGAACAAGATTTTTATGTGGATGATTTGTTAAAATCTGTGTGTTCTGAAAATGATGGCCTACGAATGAAACAACAGCTTACTGAAATATTGAAAAAAGGTGGATTCAAACTAACGAAGTGGCTTAGCAACAGTGAAAAAATACTGAATAGTATTCCTGAGGATGAGAAGGCCAAGTCTATATTGAATTTGAAGTTTGATGAAACACTGTCTGATCGTGTTCTTGGTGTGTATTGGAAAGTCAGTTTTGACTCATTTGGTTTCAATATAGATATGACATCACCTGATGTGATGACCAAAAGAACTACTCTATCGCTTGTTAGTTCGTTATACGATCCACTAGGCTTTGTAGCAGTGGTGGTGATAGTTGCAAAAATCATGCAACAGGATTTATGTAGAAAACGTCTTGGATGGGATGAGCCTATTCCTGATTGTGACGTTGCAAAATGGAAGAAGTGGCTTGAGCAGCTGAGTGCTTTAAAAGATATTACTATCAATCGATGTGTAAAGCCCAATGGATTTGGAAGAGTTGTAGTGATGCAAATACATCATTTTGCAGATGCTTCCTCGGTTGCTTATGGTGCAGTGGCTTATTTACGCCTGGTTAATGAAAATCAAGATATACATTGTGCATTTCTTTTTGGTAAAGCAAGAGTGACACCATTGAAAGCAATTTCCATACCAAGACTTGAACTGACTGCTGCAGTTTTATCAGTGAAAATAGACCAGATGTTGAGACGGGAACTTCATCTAGGTAATGAATGTGAATCTTTTTTCTGGACAGATTCGACTGCAGTTTTGCAAAGTATAAGAAATTGCAATAAGCGTTTTCCGGTTTTTGTGGCAAACCGCTTAGCCAAGATTGATGGAGGATCAGAAGTGTCACAATGGCGTTACGTAGCTACAAAGCAGAATCCAGCTGATGAAGCATCGCGGGGTATCGGTGTAAAGAAGATGGCCACGAAAAACAGATGGCTCAGTGGGCCTGAATTTTTGTGGAAAGATGCTGAGCAATGGCCTCAGCCTGTGTCGTTGCCTCCACTGCCTAATGAATTTCAGCTTGTAAAACAATTGCAAGAACCGGTTTGCATGTTAACAGATCAAAGTGCTACTAATCGACTTGTGGAGCAGTTTTCTGATTTGCATTCGCTGAAAAAGGCGACTGCTTGGATTTTGCGATTCATTTCATTTTTAAGAAGTAAGAAAAGTGGGGAAAACCTACACAAAGGTCCACTGTATGCTGATGAACTGAGGAGAAGTGAATTTGCTCTAATTAAATATGTACAAAGGCAGTCCTTTGGTGAAATCATAGATAAATTGTCAAAATCTTCTGATGGATGTATTGATGCTGGAAAAAGGCTGTCATCCAGAAACATCTTGCGGAAATTAACGCCAATGTTGGTGAATGGAATTTTACGTGCTGGAGGACGTATTGAGAAAGCTCCAGTGGAATTTGATATCAAACATCCCATTATACTGCCTTATGACCATCATTTCACCAATTTGGTGATACTCCAACATCACAAGGGAGGTTGGACACTCTGGAATGGGACATACTTGGACATCACTGCGACAAAAATATTGGATTATCAAAGGCGGGGTTGCTGTCAGAAAAGTTTTGGGGAACTGCATATCATGTCGTAAACGAAATGCACCTCTTGGACAGCAAATTATGGCTGATTTGCCAGATGCTAGATTGGCAGTGAACAAACCTGTTTTTTCTGAAGTTGGATGTGATTTTTTTGGACCCTTCTTAGTCAAACAAGGCAGATCAAATGTGAAACGATATGGATGTATTTTTACTTGTATGTGCACGCGTGCAGTGCATATTGAAGTGGCTTACTCTTTGTCAACGGACTCATTTATCAATGTTTTACGAAAATTCATTGGACGACGTAGTAAGCCAAGAGCTATATATTCTGACAATGCTGGAAATTTTCAAGCCACAAATAAAGTTCTTCGTGATGAAATAAAGAAGTGGAATCAGCATTATATCAATGATTTCTTGAGTCAAAGGAACATAGAATGGAACTGGAATTGTCCCACTGACAGTAAAGCAGGTGGATGCTGGGAACGACTCATCCGGTCAATAAGAAAAATACTTGGAGGATTGCTGAATGATCAAATTCTAACAGATGAAAAATTACATGTTCTTTTTGTTGAAGTCGAATCAATCCTAAATTCAAGACCTCTTTCTCCGGTGACTTTTGATGTGAATGATGAAGAACCACTAACTCCTAATCATCTGCTGCTATTGAGAGGATCACGAAACGAATCGCCAGGTGTGTTCACTGAGAAGGATTGTTACCGCTTCGAATGGAAGCAAGTTCAATACATGGCTGATCAATTTTGGAGAAGATTCAATAAAGAGTATCTTCCAACACTTATTGGAAGACAAAAATGGACTGTTCAAAAACCAAATTTAAAAATTGGTGATATAGTTATGATTTCTGAAGATGCACCTCGTTGCCAGTGGCTCATGGGGCGAGTTGTTGAAGTGTTTCCTGATAAAAATGAGACTGTGCGCCAAGTTAAAGTTAAAACAAAAAATGGCTTTCTTAAAAGACCAATAAACAAATTGTGTTTTATTATTCACAGTGATGCTTAAATTGTGAACTTGGATATTGTGATTTGTGAGGTGACGTAATTGAATTTGAATTTTTTAAAATGGCTCATATCTAATTATCCATTTTGGAGGGGAGAATGTTACGTCACGATCCACAAGATCCAAGTATTATTGTTTGGCAATAATATTGTTGCCACATGTGGGCGCTGTTAAGTCGAGTTCGCCGCCATTAATGGATATTGCACCATACTTTGCTGCTGTTTTGCTGCCAAGTCAAGTTTTTAAAGTTTCTTTGTGTTGGTATTATTGTGATTTAATTATTGCTGTTTATTGTGTTTATCTTGTAGATGACTTAGACATCTAAATAAGTTAGTTACTGGATTTTATTGGGTTGTTGCCCTTGGTGTTAAGATATTGTGCCGTACATTTGTTACTGTGAAGAAAGTGTACTGATGTTTCCAGAATGTATTATGCAATGATTTTTGGGTAAGAATGCTAGTACTTTAAGTTGCATAATTTGAAGTTCACTGATGTATGTGTATTAAATATTGTCATTGTTAACAGATTGTGAAGTATTCTCGTGGATTCACAAAGTTTTCTTACCCGGTGTCATAAATATTATCGGTATGTTATTTATATTTGGATCATTGCTGAATTTGGTATTATTTAGTTTTATAAGTGTTCTAAGACATGTTATTTTGTTTTAGAAAACCGTCTTCCATCTTTCATTTCCGTCTATTGTGATGTTTGTGTATTGCTGAGCATTTCATGTTATGCTATCAATTCTTCGAATTACAATTTCATTACAAGTTTTCAACAATTGGTTGTGTTTGGACAAGGATTTGGGAGATGCGTTTTCGATTTGTTAGTTTTCTCTATGTGACACCTTGTGCTACCGGGTCACGTTGAAAGGGAGGTTACAGTAGCTACATATTAAATAAGCGTATAAAACCCATATAAAAAGCTTTAGTTTTTAAAGCATTAGTCATACGATAAAGGTACAGCGTGCGAATCAAATCAGCTGTAGATACGTCAGACAATCAGCCCGCTGCGAAGGAGGCCATTCAAGTGGAAATTGTGACCACGGCTACATCTAGCCGCAATAACTTCGTAATAAACATGTGACCCGCCTGTAACCTAATGAACTCGATTTACAATCGTGCTGTTCTGAACTCAATTTCTGTCAGTGATTCATGCTTATTTGTTCATTAATACTCTCATACTAATATAGGACTTCATCTCAATTTTGATACATTAATCGCATCAAAGAGATATATTTATATTTAAGCATTAGAATTGTGCATAATTGTAAAATCATTCTATATTCGTTATAACCATATCGGGAAACCGTCATTGTTTATCCCCAAACCAAACACATAACGCCTTACGTATAGGATCGTTCATGACGCATTTGCCTCGACAACCAATATTTATTCACTGAATACATTCATTCTTTCATGGTACGGCGTGTCATTCTCATTGAATGATGATGCTCAATGAATTAAAAGTATTTCGTCCTTCTATCTTATATGATCACAAATGTTGAATGATTTTCTCATCGTTTAGAGGGCGGCTAACCTGAGCGCTGTCGCAATGAACATCACTCAAAAAGAAAAGTTTAAAAACTTCAAAATGTACTACATCGACTTCGATATACACGCAAGTAAGTATAGTGAAGCGACAATATTTAGCCGCCATATCTATATATACATTTATTTTTATTATTTCTACGGTTCAAAAACCATGCCCACCACCTAGGCAATGCCGAATCCGAATAATTTTAGTCCCCACAAAAATCGAACTCTTATCGTATTCTTATCAATCAATGAATGTTATATACAGTGACTCGTTCGTTGCGAAAGTGTGCATACGCGTCGTTTAAAACATAAAAACAACAACACATAACATCGTCACGGGATTTTGCACATGCTTCTCATAGTATACTCAAGAAACTAATTACTACATGTTGGTCCCCAATAAAGTAACAGGTTGATAAACGCATAATATGAGTCAAAGGTTTGCGACCTTCTACGAATTGAAATGATGAATAAAATTAGCGCAGATTATTTTTATCGTGTGAGTGTCTGAAATAAGGCTTCTTGAAATTCTCATACTCTTGGAAGGATTGTTTTAGATCTCTAACATAGCTTCAAAGCCAAATCAAATTGGTCATGCACCTGAAAGAATAGTATTACCTGGGCTACCTTATGTGATGTTCCGAGCTGAATGGCTATATACTAACCACGTAACGTGATTTTATCCGCTTTTCCGAATAGTACTCAAGTAACAAATTAGGTCCCCTTCAGTTCTAGTTTTCTTTTCTTGGAATTTTCGACATCAGTCATTCATACCTCCGTGCTTCTCAGTGGGGTGCATTTTCTCGCTGAATCAATGCGGAAAACCCCTTATCACATTTTGGTATTTTCTTCAACGACAGTCGACGAGACTTCGAGTTAAAATTGCCAGTTTAATTAATTAAGAGAAGGTGAAGCTAATTTGTTTGCATAAAGTGCTACCAGATATTTTTCTTGGTGACCTGAATTAAATGAATATAGGTTTTGATAAATTGAGCGAGGGTTAAATCACGAGTAAGAGACTACGTCGGTTGTCGTTATGTTATTTACTTAGCTGCGGAGAAAGTCTGTTTTTGTTCATGTTTGTCAGGTATCTGTTCATACCGCGGTTATGAAACACGTGTTTACATTCGTTAACAAGCGTATTCTATGAAATAAACGATATTGACGCATGATGATCACTGCGTTATAGACAGCTCACGCTTAGTCAATGACGAAGTTGGTAATTCTACCAAGTTTCCATCGTGACATGCTTCAACTTTTTCTCCAATTCAACAAATGGGTAACTCCAGCGATGATAACGGTTGCTTGAAAGGAAAGCACTTTCCTTGAATTTTCAATCATGACTTGACATTATTGCTCCATATCCATCAAAGATACTTCGAAAACCAATAGAAATTGAAAGAATGCAATGCAAACTTTAATGCAATAATATGAGCTCTAATGTCCAAATTTATTGTAAATTTAGACTACATTATTAGACTCTAGGTTTGGGTCTTCTTTATAGCATTATGAAGTTTCTTATAAATTTCTTGTGACTCAAATGAGATACAACAACCATTTTTTTATATCTGGATTTCTATTTTAAAGAACTAACTATTTTCTGTATACACGTATTTCAATGATAAATCATTTCTTCGCAATCATTTGCCAACTATTTCGCTAAGTTTGGAGATTTTCCCGAAGTGGAAACATTTTTGAACAGAATTGTTTACGAATAATTTAACTCTATATAAATCGGCGATAAATTTATTTATTGAATGAAAGTAAAATATATTTCAAACTTCTCAATATGGAAGTGATATAGAAACTACGCAACACTTGAAAAGTAAAGAGAAAGGTGGGGCAACAATTATTTTTTTCAATAAATTAGATTTTTTTCCAGTCTGGTATTTGTTCTTATAAGAAAAACATTCCATACGATAATGAATTTTATATAAAATAGTCAAAGTGGACCACTGCTAAATGCAAAATAGATTTTGTTTAGATAATAATGGAGTGCATGTTCTATTTTGTTTAGTCATAAACATGTGGGAAACCCAAGGTGGGGAAGCATGGGAAGTCATTGAACCAGTGGACGGATTTCATCCAGGACAAATATCTCAAGCTCTCAGTGCAGAGTATATGTGGAACCAGATGCAAACAAAGTATCCAGAAATATTAGGGGCACCGAATCCAAATAACGATAAAATCAGGACAATATTTGGTGATCAAGGCGGACATTGATATATTAATTGGCCTAATTGTGATAGCCTAATTGGTAGCGGGTTGGGTAATTGTGAGCTGGTTTACTAATTCAATTTGTGATGAATAAATAAATCCTTTAAAAATATAGATTATCATTGACCATTCTGCGGCAATTCCTACAGGTCAGTGCAACTTTACGCCACAAAAATGTAAATGTGACAATCTACAAAACCATAACCACAGCTAAGCCCCACACCACAACTGAAACGAGATTGCTACATTCTGGACCCAGAGTGGTCTGTGCCCCAAGATTGGTCTGTGCAATTTACGTAACTATCTTTTAAGTAAATTCGATTAAAATAGCCCGAATGCATCAGACGCGTCATGCAAAAGAGTCCATCATATATGAAACGCATGTTTGCAATATTTATGCAAAGTATGTATATATAATAAGTATAAATCAGTTACGTATTTGCAAATTTACTTCGCATTTGTGAGTTATATTGCAAATATGAATGAACAATCACACAACTGTAAAGTGAATCAAGCAGAAGCGAACCAACGCTGAGTAACCAGGCGCCATTGTTTCTTCTATCTATACTATATGCCAGGGGTGGCCAACACGTCGATCGCAGTCGGTTGCCACGTCTCAGGTAGTCGATCGTATTGATGTTGAGTTAATTTATTGACATACCCTAAAAATTGCCTTGAAACAGTTTCTTGCCGTTCTTGTTCTTTGTTTTGAAACATGAAGAACACACTACCGTACATGCGCAAAATATGATATATGTATGTATCTTTATTTGTCTCAAAATGTAACATATGTCACATCTGCATAATAATTAAACAGAGTAAAAGAGACAGGATACACGTTCAAGACCGTACGGGTCTAAGACACAGATGTGGTCGAAAGCAGGTTGGCCACCCCTGCTATATACATACGAATATTTGTATGTTCTATATTCTATCTATACCATACAGAACGAACGAAGATACAAAATTTCATAGCAAACACTAAACAGATCTTTGCTTAGTTATTGCCGTTTTGAATTTAGGCTAAAGACATAAGTCAAAGAACAGTGCACTTGACCGGCACCACACATTTTGTTTCGCTTGCCTAAAAATCCATAGCGCTGTCTTCAAAGCAAAGTAACCCCCTTTAAGAAGGGGACACGCAGATGACGTCAGGGGCCATACTCAAAACGACACAATACTTAATATAACCTCATACAGTAAACCTAAACAGCTCAACATCAATCTTGGTAATCTATGTGGGTGCGTAATGACAACTTACAAAACAACAACAGTGGGAGTAATAGCAACATCGGAAAATAATTAGTTGATTGACACTCGCTTGTAATAAACTAAATGAGGTGTAAAAACCTGGGCCAAAATATATCGAGAACACGGCTTTACGTGAACAGTATCGCTCAAGGGTGCACGGTGTATAGGTAAGTCAACTTATACCCATAGTCAAAGCCGATTCTATGCAACGGTCTTTCGGTTAAAAATGCAGCTTTTCAAACATTTCTTAAATGCAGTTGAGCTTTTACCTAAAAAAAAATCCTGACAAATTTGCTTGTTTTGAACGTTTAATTTCGTTTCAAGGTTTTCTTGGAAAATTACTGACAGGATTCAGATATCCATCATGATTAGCCGTTTGAAGTTGATTTTACTTAAAAGCGTCGAGTCGTCGTGCAGATTTTGATGTACCACTGATTCAAACTTTATGGAGTTCGTTTGATTTCGATGTCTCATATTAATTTTGCTTTATAAGTTCGATAATCGTCTTTGCGTTTTTATTAGTCACTCTCCATTCTTTAATTAGTTTTAGAAGGAGATTTGGAATATTACCTCCAGGGACGCGCTCGACCTCACTCCGAACCTGAATTTATGTCCAAAGTCCTACGTTTCCATTTTGTGGTGCAATATATTTTGAAGAATATATGATAAGGTATAGTTAATGTATATGACAGGTATGCATTGTATCAGCAAAATGTAGTCATTTTTTTCAAAAGTTTTGCATATATTTAAGGATAGATGATGGGTATTCATGCACGTAACTTAAGGTTGTGAACTTCTGGAACCAGGTTATGAAAGAAGAAAAGTAAATGATGTCAGCAATAGTTATATCTCCGCAGATAATACTGACGCAATATCCGTCTAAATATTGGAATATTCTGTTAGTTCTGAGTACTATGTATCATAGTTGGAAAGAGCGATGCAAATATTCCCCGGATGTATAAACCTATTGTTTTGAATTCGCATCCTGCGCTCTCATCGCTATTATCGGAGTCAGTGACGTCATACAGCATATTTAGATCCTAAAAACTGTTGAAAGTCAATGATAATATTGTGAAGCATACTACCTAGGAGAAAAAAAAACTAATGTATATATTTATAAGTTGTTGAAATAATAAGAAACTCATATAAAACTGGTTTGCGCAAATAGGCACCCATTGACAAATATTGTTGTGATAAATTGCATACACTGTTAAAATTTTTTTTCCAAATTTACTAAAAAAAAATGGCAGCAAAAGTACTGGCCCCATGTAAAAAAATTTACAGGCCCTATCAGTAGTATTATGAACAGTATTTTTAGTAAATTTACAGAGATTGATGGTAGCAAAAATTACTATAAAACTGTAAAAAATACTACTTTTTTGACGGCAGTAAACCTACCCATCAGTAGTAATATTTTTTACCTTAAAATAGTAAATAAAATTACTATCTCGATGGCAGCTACCTTACCCGACAGTAGTACCATACAATACTAGCATGATGGTAATTTCTCACTCGCGATGACCGAACCACTACGAGAGTAGCAAAGCTATTTACTAGCACGACACAACAGTAAACACACATATTACAGTTAAAATATAAAAAAAACGAGATTCTGGAAACGAAAATCATTTTATTACAATTGATATTTTTATAAAACCATAAATACACACTGAACGCCTCTAAGGCTTGTCAAACAGTTTCGAAAAAAATTTCAGAAAATATATGGTCTACAGTCAAATTTAAACACCTATTAGGAGACGTTGAAGGCTATCCATGCAATAAAATGAGGGCACAAGTTCTTGTAGGACATAGGAAATGTAATGGATCAAAATCGAGTTTCTATTGGCACTTGTTAGAAATCTGGTCTATACATTTCGAGGTCTATTTATTTATCTCAATAGATCCAAATAAAGTCAAACAAGAAAACGTTTTAGGACTGGGTTGTTTAGTTGACAAACTTATTTTGAAATCAAATTTCTGGATACCAGGCTATGAGACGCTGGCAAACGTGACATAATAACGAGACTATTGTAAGAATTTCACGATTTTTTGCACTTTACTCTAATTATAATGTTTCAAAATGAAAATTTTGGGAAATATCATGCAACCTATTTTGTAGCTATGGCAAGAGTTTCAAAGATGACAAATTCTAAAGTTAATTATGCAAGATAATTTTCAAGATAAGATTTCAAGGGGCGTGAAGTCGAAGAGCGGGAGTTTGAGGATTTTGGTAGGAGCCATGAGTGGGAGTTCTAAATTTTGAAGCTTGCAGAGTCTATAGAGTTAATCATAGTCGGAGTTTATCCACACTTATGAATAGAGTTTGACTGGACATTTTTAAAGCTCATGAGCTAGGAGCAGAGTTTGCAGAAGTTGCAAATTCGAAAATGTTAAAATTGATAAAACTGGACAAAAAGTTACACTAAAGCAGCTAGCATAGCAGCAGTCAAATCTTATAAGATCAGGGAGTCAAGAGTTTTAATTCATATTTTGAAAGAGTCTTGAGCAGGAGACGGAGTCGTATATTTGCAAGCGTGGGAGTTGATAGTCATGAGTGGAAGCCAGAAATTTTGTGGTTGAAGAAGATTACGGAGCAGAGTTTGTCTAAAATTATCCAGACTTCACACCCAACACACAGCTAAATCATTTTTTATCAAATTAATCGATCAGCCAAAAGCAGGGCTGCGAACTCGAACTTCGAAAAACTCTATCAAGTACATGAACTCAAACCCCTGACCAGGGTAATGAACTCGAACTTGAGAAACTCAATCAAAGGCATGTGAAAATTTGATCGAGTTTTCACCCCTGGTCAAAAGTGATGTAAGCTGCAGTAACACAACCAAAGTTTACTTAAACATCAATTTCTAACAACGGCACATATAACGCCTGTGATAGATTCACTCTTCTTGCAAGGCCGATTACTTTTGCATGAACGTCTTTGCCTTTACTTTTTTCGACTTAGTGCCTCTGGGGTTTATGTCACCGAAGAACCTGAAAAAAGACCGAACTTAAATGGCGAATAGGTTTCACATATGAAATTTGGAAAACGTCCTGTCATCTCACCACCAAAATAGTAAAACACAAACACTGGACAAAAATAGTAAAAATGTCAGGTATTTATAATGTATCGTGCCTTGCCAAGGGATAAACAAAAAACTGCCAGTGGCCAGGAATGCAATTGCTAAACCAGGAAGCACCAGATCCTCCTAGCCTCCAGTTGTCGCAAATCGCAATAGGCTCATCCGCTCGTTGACATTCGATTGCAAATGCAGCAATTGAAAAATATTATATTAATTTCTGTCATTAGTAATGATTTTTTGCAAATATATCAAAAATTTCCTGCTACAAAATGGAGAGCACAGTGACATCGTTTGAAATTGAAGTTCACTAAAATAGGATTGTTGTGAGTTCATTTTTCACATATGGATGTAAAACATATTAGATTAGGAGGAAACATGTGTGGTACCGCCAGTCAGTCTATTATTAACCACCTAAAACTGTTTAACTAATTAAATTATTCTCAGCCCCACTTATGACCCAGTCCCCAGGATATGGACACCATGAGTTTGTGCAAGTCCAGTCACATATTTCCTTTTCACAACCCATTTTTTGTATTGTATATCATCAAATAACACTACATGACAGAAGAAACAGGTAATTCGTCAACAACGTGTACATTGTGCCAACAGCAAGAATTATATCAGCACTGTAGACTAGCACATTTTTCTTACCTCTGAATAAATCAAACGTCAGCAAGGCCTTCTTTGGATATTCTATGTTGAAAACATAGAACGAAGCAAACTGAAAAGCTACCGCTTCAAAAAACGATTTACAGGAACACACCACTTCTCGTTCAGCGATGACGTAAAAAGTCTCAGCAGTCGCTACCGTGTTACCTGAAACACAAGATTGTAAACTTTAGCTTCGAATCTATAGGCTTATGAATAAAGTGAAAGTCACTCGACAGGTTGATTAATCTTATTATCTCAACTTCTAAAGCCAACTAATAACAAATACACTTACTAGAGGTGGACGATTAGTGATTTTTTTGATAATATGCAATTACACAATTATTAATTGTATAATAGTACGATCATCTCCAAATTGGCTTTGGCTATATATCTAACATAGCAGACATGGATTTGTTCTTATTTTCACTCACCGTTGATAGCAAGCGCAACACTGATAAAACGAAGGGGGAACTTATTACATTGATGAGGCTTATGATGCGCATTACGTTCTTTCAGAAATATTATATTTCATATTTCAAGCAATGCATACTGTGACGCAACAGTTAAAGCAGGTTGCATGACAGAAGCTGGTGATATTATTTTATAATAATCACAACTGAGAAGTATATGGCGACACAAAATGGCCTTTGAAAAAGTTGCGCAGAATTAATCACAGGAAAACAGCTATCATATCATTTTTCGAAATTGTTCCCGATATTCACAATTACATCGCTCACCTCTAACACTTACCTATGCAAGCAATAAATGGAGATTTTGGAATATCTTTTAATATCTGGGAAAAAGTGGTTTCTTTCTGAAAATAGGCAAAGTAGTGCATGTATATGCAAAAAAATTCCGTTAACCACTATCATGCAGTTAGTTTCCAATTAATTTGCAGTCGGCTCACAAAACTTTATACGAACAGTGTTGTGCAGAAGTTACATTACTCTTGATGCAAAAACTTTCAAAAAAAAGTACTTTACACAAAAAAAGCATAGAACATACCTGGAAACACTTAAATATTTGGTTTAGGTTCTCTCCGAAATAATAGGCGATCAACGTGACCACCCCAGTCGATTTTGGTAATTCAGTTTTCAGACTCTTTGATTCCGATTTTGAAGAACTTATAAATTCAGAAATTTTCTTATTGGTTGAATATTTCAATGTTCTAAATAATAATGCCTGCTAAAACGCTTAAAAACAGTGAAAAACCGTCAAAAAACACCAAGAACCCTGCTAAACGCTTAAAAACAGTGAAAAACCGTCAAAAAACACCAAGAACCCTGCTAAAACGCTTAAAAACAGTGAAAAACCGTCAAAAAAACACCAAGAACCCTGCTAAAACGCCTAAAAACAGTGAAAACCCGTCAAAAAACACCAAGAATCCTGCTAAAACGCTTAAAAACAGTGAAAAACCGTAAAAAAACACCAAGAACCCTGCTAAAACGCTTAAAAACAGTGAAAAACCGTCAAAAAACACCAAGAACCCTGCTAAAACGCTTAAAAACAGTGAAAAACCGTCAAAAAACACCAAGAACCCTGCTAAAACGCTTAAAAACAGTCAAATAATACAGTGTAAATTGTGAAATCGCCAAATACGTTGGCCGCCTTGTAGACTTTGTAGGTACCGGTATAGTTGAATTCATCTGTCTGTTACCGGTACCGTACCTATTGTTGCCACTGACTTGTAACGTTTGAACGTATCATATCACCATAGGCTACCGGTAGATTACATCTATTCCGAAACAAATACTGAAATAGCCAATTCAGATTTTTACTCTTGGTCGTCGATATATACCGGTACCGGTAAGACGGCGAAACTAACGCAGTGTGTAAGCATGTCGCTGTATACAGGTACGGTACCGGTACCATTAGATGCTGATGTACACGGTATTTAAAGAATATTTTGGTCTACCGACTACAAGTCTGCTACTGTAACACAAACATGCTCAATTAACGCATAAAAAGCTACAAAAACCAACCGCCTAAAATAAACATCCACTAACGACAAAGAGCCTCGCTTACCGAGTCCTAATTCCTGAACCAGAAAAAGCGCGGGCTACAGGCACGTGACATTTGAGTGATGTCATAATTGGCACATTACCGGTACTAAATGACCTATGACCGGAAAGAGAAGGATTAAAATATAGGACACTTTGATCTCTGCAAAAAGTACCAGTACCGGTACCTCAATATTCAGACCACTACCCGTGGTAAATTCGCAGCTACCGTACAGACCGTTGCTAACACAATCATCAAACTCAGACTCACGCTATTGCATACTTAACATACGTACCGCATTCAGTTTTCATACGCACGCAACCGATGCTGAGCTCCCAAACAGCTTAGCGTCCCAGCCGAGATGGGCAAGGAAACTCGAAATCAAAAATGCTGCGCACGCAACCTGCCTTGTGGAGTTTTTGCGGATGAATTTTTGGACAAATAGGTCCGCTTACTTCCGGAAAAATAATATATAAAAACAATATCTTATCTTGTCTAATGCAATAGCAAAACAATCAGAATTTTTGGGTGATGAACCAAAATAATTTTGGAATAAAATTAATTCAAATTAATACCCAGAGCAAAATTTAGATGAAATTCTAAAGGAGTATTTAAATTTGCTTCGTGACTATATCGCATGCGTAGGTAGATAAATTCGTTTATTGGAAAGAATAGTTACTCGTAAATTAGAGGATCTTAGATTTTTTTACTTTTTCCAAGTATACTAATCTTTTTACTATTTTTCTGTTATATTAATTACTAACTGATCAGTGAAATTACTATTCATTAGTAAACTATTAACAAACAAGCACCCTGATTGGCTCAGCTAAGCAAGTCACGTGATTTCAATAAAATACTCTTGTAGAAAGTAAAATTCAACGAAAAATTAGTAAAAATTTACTAGAAAAATTAGTATATTTACTAATTTTTTTAACAGTGTAGTTAGCATAGAATATCCATGGAAAAATGATTTTATGATAAAGAAAACATCTACAGTCTCAAGTTCAGATGATGCTGATAAATTTACACATTCAAAATCATCAAATTCCATGTTAAACTTTACATCGCCATCGTGTATAACTGTATTGATTTAATTGTCCATACTTTTTGAATTTTGAGTATGTCTACCAAAATCCAAGGAGACCACAAGCTGAACAAAAATTATTGAGATAATGAACATTTACTGACGCAAATAATTCAACTGTAGACTTTCTTGAAATCAATACAAACATTTTATGGGCCGTAATTGGTATTTGGCAATTCGAGAATGATGCTATGAATTGTCGAGTTCTGTTTTTAAATGTATAAAAACACATGTTGCTATGATTACATAAATGAAATTATGGAAAATAAATAATCGAGGGACTTATTTGTGAAAGCAATACAATATAGACGTTGCTGAACGTCATCTTAGCAATACGGTAGACAGCGTGTTCTTATTGTGTAGTATTGACACGTAATGAGTCTAGCACGTGGCTGGATGCCATTTATGTGAAACTAAAATTAAAAGGACACAAATACAGTATTAATAAATACAGTTACATAATATAGTTTTTAATTTTACTTATATAATTTTACTCAATATGGAGATTATGATTGTTCCACACGTGTGGATAATCTATGCCCCCCATACAGATAACGTACCAGAAACCTCTGTTCTAAATCCTGTTGTAGTTCCGTATAAAGCACTGTTACGTCACGTGCTTGCTAATTTAAATTTGCAAAGCGACTAAAATATTCTGAAACAATGAAAGGGAATCTCTAACGTGATGCAAATACTATGGCATGGTTCATGGAAAAATTTACGCTGAAAGATGCCAAAATGCCTACTGATGTGAGAACAGACTTTTTCCACCTATGGTATTAAACGAACACTTCTAAAGCTTACGATAGAAAATTCCCCCATCTCAATCACAATTGACGTGTATGCACGTCCGCAATATGCAATGAGTCACAATTGAGCAAAAGGTTTCATTTTTTGCAACTTCATCTTGTCACACGGATGATTAATTTTCTGTATATTTCAAGTCAAGCAAAAGGTTAAATGTGAAGAAAACTTACCTTTCTACTTTGCAGGCAAATAATCTATTGTTTCTGAGCACATTATTTTCACATGTTTCTGTTCATTAAATACTTTTTTGACCGAATTCAACAAACAAAGCTGACACAGCGTGAAATATTATTTTTTTTATTTTATTCCATACATGCTTCTTATTCATAGGGCCCAAGAAAAACGTATCCAATAAGGGATTTTCAGCTTCGACATTTGACATGTGACTGAAAATACGAATCACCTAATAATCAGACATCCTCGTAAAACGATATATTGTAGAATGATTCTTCTGTGTGTTGGACAGAAATGGGACAATTCGTGGCAAAACAAGAAATTCGAATGAACAAGATTGTTTAAAATTTGATACCACGTCGTCTGCTAACGAAATATATTCATTTTATAAATTCTTCATCACGCGCTTCTTTAGTTATATACGGTAGCCTATATATCATAGCCGCCCTAAATTACCATATGTTGCCGAGAGCATAATTATGAAGTCGTTTAATTGGATGTATAAATCGGTGTTTGCGCTAAACGATTTCATTTTACTCTTGTGGCAATATGTTTTCTCTCAGATAACTATAAAAGTAAGAAAATGTATCTATTTTAAAAATAATATTCCAAATTGGTTTCGGACGTACGCTGTGGCCATGTATGCAAATGAGCAATACGAAATCCACGGTACTGAAATACTACAAACATCATGCTGGGATATTCGTGGGATGATGGCACCTTAGGCAAAAGTATAGTTATAGGGAAAATTCAACATGAATGAGTAAATAGTGAATTGGGTATCTGTAGCACAATAGATTTGGAACCTACTAACGGGTAAATAGGAAGAATTATATATGACTCTTGTTACGATCCATGCCGGAAAAAGTTGCAATGACGCAAGGATACTTTTAGCAGAGTTCCAGCTCCTTTGTGCGCAAGTGCGCAAACAAAGGGCACGTGGAGCTGTGTTATCAATAAATAATTTTCAACATTATTAGCTCATTGAATGCATATAAAAATAGTCAATTTTTGACTTGTGATGTGATTCACGGAGGAAATGGAATTTTATTACCTTTCTGCATATAAGAGCATAAGTCATATTTTCGTCCGAGGATGAATAAGTGATGTGGCATATTCTAGAAATAATTTGTTCGAAATTGGTAGTACTTGAAATCTTAAATAGTTTCACTCACAAAAATACAAATACATTCGAAAGGATATTCGAGTGACTCAAAAACACATACTCACGTAGATATGTATAGGTAACTTACGTTTTAGTATGCAAAAACACATGCGCATTGATTTTGTTTTCTCTTTTTCAAACAGACTTCTGTCATCACGCCAATATTATATATTTCAAACGACAATAATTGCCAATCCAATAAGTAAGCGATTTTGATTCCATTTTAACTCACGCACCCGATACATTCAGAGAGTCGAGCATGTGGCATAATAATCTGATCTCGATATAATCTTGAGAAATTCTTTTTGGTGTTATTCTATTTTTACTTGAAAAGCACAAGTAAATTTTTTCAATGGATTACCGTATTGTTTTGTATCCATCTTTAAATGAATAAAACATTAAAACGAATTGATGCCGTTCATTAAACGCCCAGAATTATTACAAAATCATAAAAAACTTTCCTGTTAAATAATTGAACAAAATATTTATTGCAAATCGCATGCAATCGAGGCCATATCATATCTGGATTAAACAAATATATGAGAACTTTAGAATAAAAAACTATCGAATTAAAATGTATGGTATTCAGACCACTATGGAAAATAACCAACAAATATATATTTCATTCAACATACTGCAAATTACAGGACCAAATTTGCCAACCATTGATTGTATAGGTGAATTTGTATAGGCGTGAATCTTATTTTGTTAGTTCAATGACTGGTTTATGGTTGACACCAAATCCATGACAAAGTATGATAGTTACAAATTAATAGGTATATCCGCCAGTGTAGGCGATGCGGCAATCATACGGTGACATAATATGTATTAAATCACTGATTTTATAACAATTTTAAAACGAGTTATTATGAACCATAATAACGCTAATTACACTGGATAATTTAAATAAAACCTAATCGAAGGAAAGATTCGAGAAGCTTCTGTACGACAGCCCACAGTTTGACCCGAATTAATATCTCAAATATAACGTAACTGAATTGAAGTTTAGCGGACACACGTTCTACTTAATTTGTAAACGAAATAGCGATTATTCACGGCAAATTTCAGGTGTCCTAGGAAAGGAGAAAATTTTCCGTCAAGTTACGATAATAAATTACCTTATAAGGCAAACTGGCGAAGGGAGAATATTCTCTCGTCTACAAAAAAGAGAGATTTTTCTCTCTCGAACGTGCGTGAAGTGGATTTACGCCAGAACTCTATCTTTAAACACCTTTCTTGTCAAGTCGCGTAAGTCGGGTATTTTTTCTTCGGAGAAAGTTGTATATAAACGGTAGAGCTGCAACTTTAAACCATCCGTTTCAAATGTAAACGAAGCAAGTGTTTGCTCTGTCATGTATCAAGTGAGATAGTTATTGTTATAATCTGCGAAGCATGCATATATAATAGATGCTTAGTGTCAGCGAAAGTGACAGGGGCCTAAATCAACTTATATTATAAAGAGAACGGAGAGAACTTCGAATGCAACATTTTTCAAGGTTAAGACCATAGCTACTTCTCAGATAGTATATATTGAGAATTGAAATGAATGATTTCATATTTTTCGTGACAAACTTAACGTTATATTGTTGAATACTAAATACAATATCATAACCGCAATCGAAATGAAATAAGTCGAGCAATATTATAAACTTCCTCGATTTGCTATTCCTAAACCGTAACGGAAAGTTCATTCCAATAAACGAAATGCCTCGGCAACTCGTGACTTTATTTCATGATTTGTGGCGACTTGCAAATGTCAGCATTATGAACTGTGAACATCATTAGTCAAAATGCAAATTGCAACCTTAAAAGGCAGAAATACCTAAATGAAAGCTTTGAGACATGTGACCTAAATATTTTGTGTGTTATAAAAAGAAACATTAATGAAAGCAGCAGGTTATATTACAATATGCTTATTCATACGTTGGTTGCCCGTACGGTTATATACAGCCACAACTTATTAATTCGATACAATCTTGATTAATTTGTAAAACGTTTGCATTTCAGATATTTATTTTTTGATATTTAATGTTTGAGTGTAATAAAACTGATTCTAACTAAACGCTTGAAAGAAAACATGAAAAAGGGCTTGTACGTAGTGTTGACGTTTGTACTACTTTGTGCAACAGGAGCGCATCCAGCACCCACACAATCCAAGGGAGTGGTGAGTACTTGTTTAAATCTAACTTAGTTTAGTACATACGTTTTGGTTTTGTATTGTATTAATTTTGTATTCGCACTTTTACGGTAGTGCCAAATAGTTTATTTTTTATATAGGTATGTATGTTTCTCATAATATAATTGCATATTTCTATATTTTTTATAAATAGTATTTTTAAAGAAGCGAAATAAATGCGCCTTCGAAAAATATTTCCTTATTAGGAAAATTCGTTTATGTTATAGTTCATTGGTTTTACCTAAAAATTCATGTCATCAGATTGTTTCAAAATAAATGTCAACAAACGAATCGTTTATTGAACCGATTCCAAAATCATTTATTTTTATTAACTACACATGGTGACGTAATAATCTCGTGATTTGCAATGCATGCAATTCTTTCCAAACTGTCTGCAATGCAAAGCGACTGTTACTTAATTAAAATTGATATCGAAATGTCCATTTACGGACAAATAAAAGGAAGGCGTCATATCATACTATACACAAATAAAAAATCAAATATAAATCGTTTCATATCAATGAAAAACTTGACTTAAATGACCATTTTTTATTCGTATAAAAAAGTAAATGTAAAGTAAATGTGTGATAATAAAAATTCGTTGGTAGGATAGCTTGTAGATAGGTCAGCGCACAATTATATAAGATTCATCATAAATCTTCAACATGGTAAATGAATTAACGCAAGAATTTTGCTTGGGGCGACAGACAATTGATAGCTTTTGTCCAGTTATTATAGTTATTATAATATCACAAATATTTAAATTTATGTCAATGATAGCATCAGCCCACATCCGAAATTTTGAAATATTTCAAACTACATGTTTTATGAAAGTTTATCATAGTGAGAGCGAAACCCATAATATATCATGGCGAGCTCATATAGCTATTCTAAGCTTTTAACGACACTTATAGTGTGGCGAGCTTATTTCATGCTGAAGTGCATTATTTTACGACCAAGATAGAAGACCGTTTTCAAAATGTAACTGTGGTAGATTTTGAAGAATTGAATTACCCTATCTGGTACTTTTCTATGACGCAATATTTTAGTAAGCGAGCGGACATGACCCTCGCTGAAGGCAAATCCACCGATCTCATCAGTATTTCACGAGTATAATTAAATATAGCGCATTTGTCAGCCCCACATTACACATACACACTACAGTATTGGAACTAAATGTCGTTCTGCTTTCTATTTTGAAAGATTCACGTAACAGTGAGGTATCAAACAAAGATATTCCTGAATGATATGTCTTACTTGGTAAACTCCGCCCACGTAAAACAACAACCTTTTACTCCAAATATGGTCTTTCGTTGGGTTTGACCTGCGGTTATTTCGATTAAAAAGATACTTCTCTGTGAAACGTAGTTCTCCAAATTTATGGAGAGCCCAGGCATGGCACCACAAAAGCAGAATCATTTTCCACAGCTGGTCAAAGTCTTCACAACTTTTATTACATGACGTAATCTTTTTATCGTGCGGTAAAACATGAGACACCTACTGAGTCACCACTACTTGAATTCGATAAACGTGTGGCTTAGCCTTAGACAATTGCCATGTGAATCGTTGACCCTAAAACATTCACAATATTTTCGCCGACAATGTGTTTTATATCTTTAAATTTTACAGGATTTCCTGGCTCGGTTTGGATACATAGATTACAATCCTCGTCTTGGTAATATCATGTCGCAACACGATCTTTCAGCTGCCGTAATGAATTTTCAAAGATTTGCTGGTTTAGAACAAACTGGGCAGCTCGATCACATCACCCTTGAAAAAATGGATTCGCCGAGATGCGGAAACCGGGACGTAGTTGGTATGTATTTTCCATACAGACCGTCTAATCCATATTTATCTTATAAGAAAGCTGGGCTTCACTCTTGGCGTCCAAAAGTAAGGTTGTAAAATATTAATTAACTATCGGAACACTGCTAATCTATAGTCTTGACATGTAAATGGTAACGTAATGGTAGGTTTCGCATTAGCGTAGGTGTTAATTGATAGTTACGACCAAATATACACCAAATTTCGAAGTTTAAAACTCAAATTTTTTTTTCGGATAAATTACAGGAAATTTGGGAACATGGGCTTTACAAAAAACCACAGCCAAGAAAAACTTTGGTTTGCTTAAATATGCTAGCAACGTGGTCATATATTATATCCTCAACGTTAACAAGTACTATCCCCACAAATATTACATTCACTACATTTCAGGTAGCGACGCCGCTGCGAGAAAGAAGAGGTATGCACTTCAGGGAAGCAAATGGCAGAAGAAGCACTTGACGTACAAAATTGCGTCTCATACAACTGATATTAGTCGCCGTGACACAGAAAATGCGATTAATAAAGCTTTTAAGGTAAAAACTTGTTAATGAGAAATCATAAATTAATATCAATTTCGTATTTACGAAATGAATATATCACGTTGTTTAGAGCGTACCACGTAAATACCACAATACAGCAGTAACTTTAATGCCATTTTCATTACCTATTTCAAGGTATGGGAAGCAGAATCGGGGTTGACTTTCAGACAAGTGAGATCATCGAAAGCTGACATCGAAATAAAATTCGCAGAAAAAGCTCACGGTGATGGCGACCCATTCGACGGGCCAAGTAAAACACTAGCCCACGCATTTTTCCCCCAATTTGGAGGAGACGCGCATTTTGACGAAGCTGAAAAGTGGGCTGTCAGTGCTGATAAAGGAGGTATGTAAAAATATTACATTGTTAAATAGAGCGATGTCACAGAGCAAATAATGATAAAAAAAAGTTTTGATAATAAAGCTAATAATTCATTGATATGATTTAAATAAATTTATTGTTTGGCATTAGTGCTATAGACAAAACGCCTAATATGTCTTCTAACCATGTCTTATTATATTAGAATGTTTCTTTTACTATACATGGCACTCCCAGTTACTAGAAACAACACCTGCAATTCCCTCATAATTCTAATAAACAGTACCAATAATTACTAAATACTTATTATTCAATATTGTTTTTAGTTAGTCTATTCATTGTTGCTGCTCACGAATTTGGACATAGCCTCGGTCTTTCTCATAGCGATGTGAATCAAGCACTGATGGCCCCATTTTACAATCCAAATTACGACGGTCTCCATGATGACGATATTCGAGGTTTGTGCATTTAGTTATCTTATTTGATATTAACTCATCATATAACCCTTATATCAATGAGTCGCAAATTTTAAAGCAAAATGACTGATGTTGATGATATTTGATACGTTAATGCAGATGACTTTACATCTCGATGTGTTATAATTTCACAGGATCTTGATTTTTTTGCTTATAATTATTGAAACGTTTTGTGCATTTAGCAATCAGAATTTTATACGGCTCACCCAGCGACAAGCACAGACCACAATCTTCAACTACACCACCCAGAACAACAAGAAAGCCTCGACCAGGAATAACAAGACAAACTACAACAACGAAAACACCCCCCGTTGGCGCTTGTAACGGAAGGTATGTTTGCTCAAAAATAGTCTAATTTGACTCATTTACGATAGAAAGCTCAGGTTCATTTCTTCTGAGCAATAACTTCTTTTATAGAAGAACTGTTGAGCTATTATTCAAACAAGTAGTTTTTTTTTATACTGAATAACATGTTAAATTTTCAGATTTGATGCCATAACTATGGTAAGAAACGGCACAACATATGCTTTCAAAGGTGATAAATTTTGGAAACTCAACGACCAGGGAATGGAACCAGGATATCCAAAGTCAACTAAGAAAATCTGGGGCTTGTCAGGAAAAGTTGATGCCAGTTTATCATTCGGAGCTTACACTGATTTATTTCAGGTACAAAATTGAATACTATGTCCCCTCTAGTTCTTCAAAAATCATAATAAAATATGCAATATGTTCGACCATAAGATTTGAATCGTATTAAATCCAATGATTTTATAAACAGGGCGATGTTATTCATCGGTATATCAATGGAATCCCAATGCATGGATACCCCAAGCGAATTTCAGAGGTTTACAAAGGAATACCGTCAAAATTGGACACTGCTTTTGTGTGGAGCGGCAACGGAAAAGTATATTTCGTTAAAGGTAACATGAGTAACATTTACATATTTTTTTAGGTTTCGCAATTCAACTATCTTTAGTTGGCTAATATTTCAACATTCATGTAAATTCATTTTTCTTTAATTCAGGTGATAAATACTGGCGATACAACCCATCTCTTCGTAAGTCTGACAACGGGTATCCCCGACCTCTCTCAGTTTGGAAAGGTTTGCCAGAGCGACTGGATGCTGCTTTGAAATGGAAGGACAGGACGTACTTTTTCAAAAATGGATACTATTGGAGGTAAATTTTATACTGTTCATAGAAAATTGGCTGTTGACGTGGTTTTAATACAGGAAAGACCTCAATATTGGTTTGTTCAGTACTTTCTGGCATCAGATGTTTGTCATATACACTTCTTTTTTCATTTCAGATTCGATGATGAACGTGTTGAAGTAGCACAATCATTGAAGACACCATATCCCCGTCGATCAGACGCTTGGTGGCTAGGTTGTACAGACAATACGTTAAAATCTTCACCGGAAGAAACCGGTATTGGAGACAAAAATGAAGATGTAAATGATGGTGATGGCAACGGTGCTTCGTCCCGCTTCAATACTGTACCACGTGCTATGTTGTCAACTCTGTTGATGTTTATCGTATCGATGCTACTTTGTTGATGATCTCAAGCGTTAGCTAGCTTCTTACACTAACATGTGAAAAACTCACCCAGAAATTGAGTCGAGGACAAGATCTCGATACAAACGGAAAACAACTAGGATGTAATCGAACCTGCAAGTGATGAGTACAAAACTGGATAGAAAATTATCGAAAACTTTAGTAGATGCATTCAACGATATTATTATTATTGCAACTTTTCTTCTCAAATATTTTATATTGTTGTATTTATTGTTTGACTTTTTGAAGCCAATTCTATTTATGTGTGTACGTGTGTTATATATGAATTCCCCAAATACAATGTGTTATATTATTAATTATTTACATTTTTTATATTATTTTATGAAGATGTTATTACTTGCCAATTCTTTATTGCACTTTCTTCCTCAATTATCTGCATTTAGAGTTGTATAGTCGTTTCATGACAATTTTTTTTAATTTTCATCCAATCTCAAATTTTGTGTAATAAATCATTTCAGAGTAAAAACAAAATATTTTGTAATGATTGGAAATCGACTTGAGTTGAATGTGTTAATTTTACAAGGATTCTGGGTATTATCATATTTTTCCGCATGAAGAGGAAGTCATTAGGGAATTGTTGTTCAACTTGTTATTCATGTTGTTTCTGGCCGGGGAATGTACAATAAAGAAACACGGGAAAACGAAAAAGTAATTTAGATATCTATATATATAGTTTATATATATATATAGTTTATATAGTTTTAGTGGGAGCAGACTGTAGTTCTGTGTAGTCGAGGGAAATTTGCAATCGACTCAAGATTGTCCCGATTAAAAATTTTAACAAATTTTAACAAAGAAAACATGGCCCTCTGAAAAAAAAATAAAAATTTGCTGCATTGTGAGAAAAAAAGGTTTTAGGGCCTTTCCAACATCATGTTGCTCTATTCTTGAACGATTTACTGGAAACCGGACGTTTCCTGGTTTGCTATCAATAACGCTTACACCAAAAGAACCAACCGAGATAGATGAAAACGCTCGCTTATATGCCTTGGATAACTTTGGCAGCGAAGGAAATCTGTTGAGAGATTGTTTAGGATCTTGTTAGATGTCAGTGGCTGCTTTTATCTGGCTTTGTTCAGACCAAAAGGCATGTGTAAGCGTCGTATTACGTCATTATACACAAAAAAATCCGAATACTCAGTGCTTAAAAAGCTGATTAAAAAGCGAACTTAACGATAATGTTTCACACAGTCACGTATAACGTACCTTTCTGTATAGCCGAAGGCAGAAAATTTTCATACAACTTACCACAATAACATTAACATAAATCTACCAGCATTGAATTAACAGTCATACTTGTTTAGTTTCCTCCCAAAGTGACACTCATATCAATAGAAAAATGCAGTTAATTCTTCCTGCTGTTAGATTTTTTCTTCTACTGTTGTGGTTTTCAAGCCATGTGTATTGTCAGAAAAATAGAAATAAATTAATGTGTGAGCCAATAGTTGATGACTTTTCTTTGGAAACGCAAACACAAGGGAGCCCTGGCAAAAGAGGTGCAGCAGGCCCTAAAGGAGATAAAGGAGAAAATGGAATCCGTGGAGTAGTTGACTATACTGTAATGAATCTTCGTATCAATCAAGGTGAAAATCCAGTTTTAACTTTCAATGCCCTCAATATCCATTAATCAACCTATCCATTAATTGCATTCAAAATTTGGGTGTTGAAAATAATTTCATTTTGCTGCTTATATATTGTTTCATTTTATGGATAGTTTTGGGAATATGAGATTAGTCAGTAATAGGTTCCTGTATACTATATTTGGTATTTGTATTAAATGCTGAGGAAGAAACATGCTTTGAAATAAAGATCTTGGAAAACGCTGGTATTTTTCAACAAAATAAACGATAATAAAAACAGATACATCTGTTGCCCAGCATATTAGAAGCGCATTGTTTGTGTCTTGGGCCTTCACAATGAACAAGCATATGGCTATATATTGTTACGTAGAAAGTCACATGTTTTAGAAAATCTTAAAATTTCTGTTTTCGGCCACACTAAGCGAAGTGCCTGCCTTAGGGCTTAAATATAATATAATGTAGCAAAGACTCAGTAGTATAAACAGAAAAAATATCAATCGTAAAAAATACCATACACTAATTATAATTATTTGCAATTTAGCAATTGTCGACATGAACGTGAAGTTCCAGGAAGAGATAACACAATACAAGAAACAAATAGAGAACTCAGAAACGAATACAAGAATAGTTAACTTATTGAAAAAAGGTGATTAGAAATGACATATTTAAAAAAAAAGCCTAACGATGTCAGGATTCATATCTCTTTTGATGTAACTATTATTACCCATAAATCGACAAATAATTCCACAGTTTTTTCTTCCGTACAAAAGATACTTTATTTGGTTTGCAGCATTGCGATAACTACCGCATATTTTTATGACTTTAAAAAAAAAACATAAAATGAATACATACATATATGTTCTCCTATTCTAGGGCATTAAATAGCTTTTACTTTTCATACAGATTTGTGTCCGATTTTTCACAATGAAAAATGTTTCTTTCTAATTACGGATGAATCTCGGATGGATCTGACACAGAGTCGTGAGAAGTGCCAAAGTCTGGATGGACAACCAGCTAATATTTATGATCGCGAACATTTTGAAAAAATAGTTCCTCTACTTCGAGTGAAAATATTTATAGGCTACAAATACACTCATATTTGGACAGGCATGACTGTCGATGCAAAGGTAAATTTAATTAAACAAATTGCTAGATATTATAGTACTTTGTCCGCATGAAATTTATTCTAATCAAATATATACATATAGATATTGTGCCTATGTCTCCAACTAGGAAAAAATAAGAGATTTTATCTTCTTCGGTACTTTCAGCCGATTCCCAAAGTAGAAACATAAATGCAAATCTCTGGTTGGATCTTATGTAGCGGTGCCTTCGAGGATAATCGCGGACCTGCGATCTTACAAACAATAGAAAAGTGTAAAAAAAAAGTGTAAAAGTGGTTCACACTTTTCTATTGTTTGTACGATCGCAAGTCCGCGATTATTCTCGAAGGCACCGCTACATAAGATCCAACCAGAGATTTGCATTTATGTTTCTACTTTGGGAATCGTCTATTCAATTATATCAAATAATATTCATTACTTTGAATAATCTGGTAGTGCGATGAAGAGCACTTGACAATAGTTTGAAAACATTTTCTCAGTTATTTTGCATATAAAGCGAAATTTTTTCTGTGATCTTGTTGCGTTTTGACATGCTAATTTTTCGGCTAATTTCAGTATTCAATCAAGTTAATTTTGAAAATATTGTTTTATAGACTCGAAAAGCGTATCTAACCAGCAACAGAGAAGCGCCCTACTCTCGTTGGTTTCCTGAACGGCCATACAGTGTCGCACGACCACATGTTGGTATTCAAATTGATGCTAAACCATCATCACATTATCAGGGAATATTTGACGAAAATCCATCTTCTAAACATCTCGGAGTGCTTTGTGAAATCCAAGTGTAAACGCTGTAAATTTGTAGTATTTAATCAAAGTGACACGCTAGGCATACAACTGGCACCCCTCTCTTTTCGCACACACCTCCGAATTTGGTCACCTTTGTTATCATAATACTAAGCACTTGTGAAACATTGCGCGAGTCTATTCAACGACGCATAAACAAGTCAATATTAAAAATGTCTGCAATACAACAAGCATAGTATGTGTTTAATTTATGGCTATCAGCAATATACAGTTGACTGAAATAAAGAGGGAGGTTCTTAGCATAGTTACTGAATGACATACAATCAAACTCTCCATTTTATTCATAAAAGCCATGAGCGAGCAACGGTCATATCGTTGGTCCGGTATTGTTTCCACCGGGACCAGTGCCTGCAGGATCACAATATGGAAGCGGGGATAACAAAGTAACAATTGTTATACATATATATATATACGAAGTCGCGGGCCGCCAGGGTTTCTAATGCAATTTTGAAAACCAAGTCTAAATTGAACAAGCTGTTGTTCGCAATCCACGAAAACCCGGTTGTTGTATATCTTGCTGTTTTAGCCATGGCATTGTTCAGCACAGTACGCTCCTTGTTATTTGCAGGCAATCAGAGTTCAAAGTCTGTATCAAGAACAAAACTATTTGAAATTTTCAGAAAGGAGATTTGCATTTTGTAATACAATTGCGTTGGTACCTTCAAAGGTCCAAATTCTCAACATCTTTAGATAGATGTAGCGCTTATCTTGGACCAAAAAATCATTTAGATTAGAACAAAAGCCTAAATCAGGAAATTTAAAATAAGCCTTGTAAAATAGTAGAATTAATATTGGTTGTTATGCATCGAAGGGTCGCCGGTACGGCTTTCATTTGTGGTCTGACCATCGTGATTAAACGACCCTTCTGAAGATACGCCAATGTACGGATATACCAGAACATAACAAACTATACTGTATCGGCAGTGTGTATCCGGTGTCCGCCATCTTGGTTCACATATATTTTGCAACTAATGTCAAGTACACTCTAATTGACACAATTCTTTCTTATTTGCAACAGCCCAGTATCAACAAGCATAATTAAAAGAAGAGAAATTGTAAATTAGATACGAGAAGTTTTGCTTCTATAGGTTTTGTGATCATCCATCCATCATTGGATATTTTTCTAGCAGTCAGTCCGTGACTCTATGACTCGCCACTGGTCATTCAGATATGTTGTTAGATTTTTATTACCGAATTCAACTTTAAGTTTGACTAGTACGGACCTGATAGAGTAATTTACAATGTGAGAATCGATCCAAATTCCCTTTTTTATTGGTGTTGGTTGGTTAAAAAAACGTTCTGCAATTTGGGAATATACTTCCCGAAACAATAAATGTATATCTTACTAAGATGACGTAGCATTCATGTTAAGGCAGGTGAAATTCGAAGGCGTAATGATTGAATCATAGAATACTCAGTGCTTGAAAAGTTTATTAAAAAGCAAACTTTACAATAAGATTTTAAAATTACACCGTCACGTACCTTTCTGTATAGCCGAAGGCAGAAAATGTTCATACAACTTTCCACGATGACAATAACATAAATCTACCAGCATAGAATTAAAAGTCATACTTGTTTAGTTTCCTCCCAAGGTGACGCTCATATCGAGAGAAAAATGCAAAAGTTAATTTTTCCTGCTGTTAGATTTTTCCTTCTACTGCTGTGGTCTTCAAGTCATGTGTATTGTCAGGAAAATAAAAAGAAATTAATGTGTGAGCCAATAGATGATGACTATCCTTTGGACACGCAAGCACAAGGTAGGCCTGGCAAAAGAGGCGCAGCGGGTCCTAAAGGAGATAAAGGAGAAAATGGAATCCGTGGAGTAGTTGACTATACTGAAATGAATCGTCGTATCGACCAAGGTGAAAATCTAGTTTTAACTTTTAATGCCCTCAATGAACTTGTTCATTAATCGCATTCAAAATTTGGGTGTTGAGAATAATTTCGTTTCAATGCTTATATATTGTTTTATTTTATGGTTATGGAAATATGAGATTGGTCAGTATTAGGTTACTGTATACTATAATTGTTACTTTTATGAAATGCTGACAAAGAAACATGTTTTGAAATAAAGATCTTTGAAAATGCTGGTATTATTCAACAAGATAAACGATACGTCTGCTTTCCAGCATATCAGTAGCACAATGATTGTGTCTTGGACCTTCACAATGAACAAGCTTATGCCTATATTGTTATTTAGAAAGTCACCATGTTTTGGAAAATCTGAATATTTCTATTTTCGGTCACACGAAGTGAAGAACTCGCCTTAGGCCTAGGGCTTGAATATAATATAATTTATCAAGAACACAGTAGTATTCAAGTTCAATGCACTAGCAGCTTATCAATTTATTTTACTTTTGAATATACAGTGTAATGCTTCTTAATGTAATGCTCCGAATTCGAAACCAGATATCTCAGCTTACTAGCAAAACATAACAACGTCGCTTTATATTTTTTTTATAAAGAAAACATGAATTAAGTAGTATTTTTATATAAAACTAAACCTGTAAAATTTACCTTCAACCCAACTCTTCACAGATGAAATATAAATCGTAACAATTATCATATATTCTTTATATTTAACAGTTGGGGTTACGTGAGACTAGCTACCTTTCCTTGCTCTTTCTATGCCTTTGCGCAGGTGGATCCGTATGCGTATAACGCAAGGATGCTTTAGCAAGAGTGAAAATGACTATACTATTCAATTCAAGAGTCTTGCTGCACACGAACACTAATATATTTCTGTAACGTTTCGTCTGACCAAGGTCTGACTTCCTCAGACAAGCATTTTACAGCTATCAATATTCATTATATTTGTTTGCAATTCAGCTATTGTCGACATGGACGTAAAGTTTCAGAAGGAGATAGCACAATACAAGAAACAAATAGAGAAATATGAGACAAATACAAGACTATTAAACTTATTAAAAAAAGGTGATTAGAATTGACATAATTCTGAAGAGCCTGACGATGTCAGGATTTATATCTCTTCTATAATATTACCCGTGAATCATGAAAAAAAAATTCCACAGTTTTGTTCTCCGTATAAAAGAACTTCAGTTGGTTTGCAGCATTGTGATAACTACCGCATATATTTTTGACTTGGAATTTAGCAATGCAATAACATAAAATAAATCCATATATGCTCTTCTATTCTATAGGGCATAAATAGCTTTTACATTTTTTACAGGTTTGTGTCCAGTTCTGCACAATGAAAAATGTTTTGTTCTAATAACGGATGAATCTAGGATGGATCTGACACAGAGTCGTGAGAAGTGCCAAAGTCTGGATGGACAACCAGCTAATATTTATGATCGCGAACATTTTGAAAAAATAGTTCCTCTACTTCGAGGGAAAATATTTATAGGCCACACATACACTCACATTTGGACAGGAATGACTGTCGATACAAAGGTGAATATTATGAAAAAATTGCTGGAAATCAATACATTCTATGGAATCTATGCAATTCAAGGGTCCTGCTGAACGCTAACACAAATGTTGTGTTAGTGTGTAGCACGAATCTTGAATTGCACAGTAGGCTATGGTCATGTTTATTCCTGCTACAGCATCCTTGCATTATAGGCATACGCATTCATTAGCGCAAAGGCATTGAGGAAGGATTGGGGGTTAATCATTAGAGATACTTCTATTGATAATAAATCAATATATTGTCCGCATCAATTTTATCCTATTCATTTGTGCGTGAATTATATTTGTGCCTATTAGTTCGTCAAGAAATAAATTCGAGATATCTATTTCTGCGGTGTTGTTAAATAACACCTTTTATTGTGTTCTATTTATGTTTCTACTTTGGGCTCAATTATGTCAAATAATATTCATTACTTTGAATAATAAGGAAATACGATAAAGAGCACTTTACAATAGTTTAAAAACATTTCCTTAGCTAGTTTGCCTATAAAGCGCAAATTTTTCTGTATCTTTGTTGCGTTTTGACATGCTAATTTTTCGGATAATTTCCAGCATTTAAAATTTATTAAATAAAAAAATTGTGTTATAGACTCGAAGAACGTATCTAACCAGCGACAGAAAAGCACCCTACTCTCGTTGGTATCCTGGACGACCATACACTGTTACACTACCATATGTTGGTATTCATATTGATGCTAACCCATCATCACAGCATCAGGGAATATTTGACGAAGTTCCATCCTATAAACTTCTCGGAGTGCTTTGTGAAATCCAAGTGTAAACGCTGTAAATCTATAGTTTTCAATCAAAGTACCACGATAGTAATGTAATACAACTGGCATCCCTCTTTTTTCGCTTACACCTCCGAATTCGGCCACCTTTGTTATCCTAAGGCTAAGCATTTGTAAAACATTGGACTATTTAACGACGCATATACAAGTCAATATTGAAAAATGTCTACAATACAACAAGCATAGTAATGTGTTTAATTTGTGGCTATCAGAAATATGCAGTTGGCTGAAATAAAGAGGTCTTCAGCATATACTTAGGCTACTGAATGACATATAATCACTTATAACTCTCCATTTTATTCATAAAAGCACATAAGCGAGCGACGGTCATATCGCCGTTATTTCTTTCCACCGGGACCAGTGCCTACAGTGTCACATTATGAAAGCGGGGATAGCAAAGCAACAAATGCCATAAAGCCCATATATATACAAAGTCGCGGGCCGCCAGGGCCTCTAATGCAATTTCGAAAACGAAGTCTAAATTAAACAAGCAGTTGTTCGCAATCCACGAAACTCGGTTGTTGTATATCTTGTTGTTTAGCCATGGCATTGTTCAACACAGTACGTTCCTTGTTATTTGCCCCGCAATCAGAGTTCAAAGTCTGTATCAAGAACAAAACTATTTGAAATTTTTAGAAAGGAGTTTTGAATTTTGTAATACAATTGCGTTGGACCTGCAAAGGTTCAAATTCTCAACATCTTTAGATAGATGTAGCGCTTATCTTGGAGCAAAAAATCATTTCGATTAGAACAAAAGCCTAAATCTGGGAATTAAAATAGACCTTGTAAAATAGTAGAATTAATATTGGTTGTTATGCATTGAAGTGTCGCCGGTGCCAAACGCATATGACTTTCATTTGTGGTCTGACCATCGTGATTAAACGACCCTTCTGATGATACGCCACTGTCCGGATATACCAGAACAAACAAACTATACTGTATCGGCAGTGTGTATCCGGTGTCCGCCATCTTGGTTCACATATATTTTTGCAACTAATGTCAAGTACACTCTAATTGATACAATTATTTCTTATTTGCAACAGCCCAGTATCAACAATCATAATTAAAAGAAGAAAAATTGTAAATTAGGTACGAGAAGTTTTGCTTCCATAGGTTTTGTGATCATCCAACATTGGATATTTTTCTAGCAGTCAGTCCGCGACTCTATGACATGCCACTGGTCATTCAGATATGTTATTACCGAATTTAACTTCAAGTTTGGCTAATACGGACCTGATGGAGTAATTTACAATGTGAGAATCGATCCAAATTCCCTTTTTTATTGGTGTTGGTTGGTTAAAAAAAACGTTATGGAATTTGGGAATATATATATATATATACTTCCCGAAACAATAAATATATATCTTACTAAGATGACGTAGCATTCATGTTAAGGCACGTGAAATTCGAAGGCGTAATGATTGAATCATAGAATACTCAGTGCTTGAAATGTTTATTAAAAAGCAAACTTTACAATATTATTTTAAAATTACACTGTCACGTATCACGTACCTTTTTGTATAGCCGAAGGCAGAAAATGTTCAAACAACTTTCCACGATGACAATAACATAAATCTACCAGCATTGAATTAAAAGTCATACTTGTTTAGTTTCCTCCCAAGGTGACGCTCATATCGAGAGAAAAATGCAAGAGTGAATTCTTCCTGCTGTTAGATTTTTTCTTCTACTGTTGTGGTTTTTAAGTCATGTGTATTGTCAGGAAAATAAAAAGGTAGCCAGAATTCAATTAAATTAATTTCAAAAATTTTGTTTTATAGACTCGAAAAGCGTATCTAACCTGCAACAGAGAAGCATCCTACTCTCTTTGGTATCTTGGGAGGCCGTACATTGTCACACGACCACAAGTTGGTATTCATATTGATGCTAACCCATCATCACAGCATCAGGGAATATTTGACGAAGTTCCATCTTATAAACTTTTCGGAGTGCTTTGTGAAATTCAAGTGTAAACGCTGTGAATCTATAGTCTTTAATCAAAGTACCGCGATGGGCATCCAACTGGCACCCCTCTTTTTTCCACAAATTCTTCCGCGTGCTACCCAAAATTAAAAACAATATTTTGCTACCTTCAAAGCAAAAATACACAATAATAAACTTTTTAAACATGTATAAACAGATTCTTTAATTGGAAAAATATCAGTCCGACAAATAGACTTGATTACCTTTCTTGTTCTATATCAGTGAGACTTCTGCTGCTGCATTACCGCTGATAGAGATTCTACATTGTGTTTATATTTTATAAATTTCAATGAAATACATGAACTACTGGTTTCATCTTTCAGGTTACTCTTGTTACGAGACTTAATACTGTTTATAATTGAGAGAAGAGATCCACAAGCATATTATGTAGATGAGAACACGGATGGTAATGCAGTTGCAAAGTTTTTAAGATACAAAAAAAATTGTTGGGAATGGCATCCCAGTCACGCAATAGTTCATTTTCTGCACTTCTCTCTTGTATTTCCTTCCCTAATCAATTATGTTTCTTCTGAAATCAATTTATTACAGTAGCGTGTAACTATCATGAGCTTTACAACTTCTTAAAACTAGACAGCGATCGGAGACCGCCGACTTATCGATCTTTCGCATGTTCAATATGTTACTCGACAATTTTGACGGAGTACGATTTCAAATGTGGTATTCTCCCAAATTGCAATCTATCCGTTGGCCACATTCTGAATAATTTCTCCTGCAGAAACACACAGCAGTATTTCGCCGAAAATATTAAACTATGTGGTTAGGTAATTGGTTGTTATAAACACTGTGTCATGATCCGAATAATACGTGTCCACAATATCAACAACAATGCTGTCATCCGTACAATTTCTATTAAAATACATGTGATCAAGCAAAGACCCATAATCTGTGGTCGCGCGATTGGTGGGAATATATTGTCGGAAACCAAGCTCATTCATTTTTTCCATGATAGAAGATGATCGATTATGGAAAATATTATCATTAAAATCTCCCAAGATGAATGTTGGAGCTCCTTGTGGTATGAAGGTCATTAATTCAGACAATATGTTAAGAAATTCCAACTGCGGAAAACTCGGTGGTCTGTAAATTAACAACAAAGTGAATTCTTTATTCGTGGAAGTTTTCAGTCGAATCATTTTATGCTCAAGCACATTCGAAGATGTTTTTATTTCAACTGGGTTCAGCTTTCGCGAAGCACAGACTAATAATCCGTGCTTTCCACCATGATTTTGTTCACTGGGTACGTCTTCTCTAAAGGAAACGTAGTCAAATTTGTTGGTGAATTTGTCTATGTTGTGGCGTTCCGTCAAATATGTTTCTGTGAAACAGCAAATATCAGCATGACGAAAAATTTCACCCTCTGTATAAGAAACTATACCGTCCATCTTCTTTAAAAAGTACCTTATGTTTAAATGACCTATCGTTAACCAATTTGATTTATTTAAATCTGTCAATGTGGGTGGACGTTGGTGTGCTATGGGCATTGTACGCATGTTATTCATCACTTCAGAACTACATCGGATAGTACAGGGATCAAAATCAGTCAGATACAAATTTTCCAACTTTCTAACCCGGGACAAAGCGACATAAACTTGCCCACAGCCAAATTTCTTTCCCTTTGTGTTGACGACAATCTTATTTAAAGTAATACCTTGACATTTGTGAATTGTGACGGCCCAACCAAGCGTCAACGGAAACTGGTATCGGGAAACTTGTGCTCCTTTGCCATATGCCTTTTCGAATTTGGCTTCCCTGCGTGTTATCGGCACGAGGAGGGGGTGTTGCCTTTTCCATCTACTCTTAGCCATAGCTTTTCGTCCAACATTATCGTTGTCAAACTTAATCAAAATGCTGATTACAAATTCTTTGTCATTTTTTGCAATATATTGAACGGTACCCATTACTCCATTCACCAAACCGTCACTCGTGTCTATATTATAAAGCAACATGACTCTACACCCAACAGCAATTTCCAAGACGGTGTGCAAACCGCCGGTTTTGCATCTTTTTAACTTTAAACCAGATGCACGCAAACTAATTAGAGACAACCCCTCCCTTTTGTCATCTATGGCCGGTATCACAATTTTTTCGGGCCCACTTTGAATCAACTTATTCAGTTTGAATAAGTTCCAGTTATCTACGTCGTTGTTGTAAGCAAAAACGTGCAATGCCTCCTCTGGATAGTTGAGATCGGAAAGATGAATCTCCCTTGTGCGCAGTGTATCTATGTCGGCTCGTGTTTGATTTCCCAATCGAATCCGACATAACAATTCTGCAAAATTTCTATCGTTTTTTTGGCGCATAATTTCATCTAATTCGTGCCAGTGGAAATAATCATTCCAAAGAGACCGACCCAGGCGCATAGTTTCATCAGAAACAGGACAAAATATTTGAGGCTGACAGACCGGAGGCAATTGGAACAAATCACCGACTGCTAAAACAGAAACGTTTCCAAATGGAGCCGCATTTCCCTTGATCACTTGCAGGCGTTTGTGAATGTTTAAAAGCATGTCTGAACTTACCATGGAGATTTCATCGATAATTAATACACGTAATCTGCCAAGATGAGATCGCAAAGTATTCAGTTTTTCGAAGGATATGCCGTCGTGTCCACTGCTAGCTTTCCTATTTGTTAACAGTAGTGCAAAATGTATAGTTATACCATCTATGTTGAATGCAGCAACGCCTGTTGGAGCACAAAGGAGGTAAGTTACATCATTCGGATCGACAGTTCTTGAAAGAGCGAAATATCTTCTTGTATCGTGCTGAATCAATTTTATCACATGTGATTTCCCTACTCCACCAGGACCACTTAAGAAAATTCTATATGGTTCAACAGAACCGTTTTGTTTAATTGCAATAACGGCATCCTTGCACCACTTCCTGTGATGGAATACTATAGCCTTTTGCTTCTCATTCAAGCAGCGTATCATATTACAATATTCAGATGTAGACAATACATTTCTGTTCTTTTCGATTTTGTATCTCGCACCTATGTCACTTTTGGGAACGGCAACACGTTCGACACTCTCAATGATCGCTGAGTTGGCAGCAAGATCCTCTCTTATCATGGTGGTGTAAGGTGTATCACCTTCCGATTTATCTTGTTGATTTGAAAGGTCACTTTCCATGCCAAGATCGCCCCACAAATGAAGAGGAGGACCGCTCACTGAATTTTTGTGAACAGATGAATCAACTAACTCCACATTGTTGCAATACCGTGATTCCACAGCAGACAATTTGTCTTGTATTTCCAAATAATAAGATGAATATGTTGGATGGTCCGCCAACAGGTCGCGCTCCTCTGAACGCCACGGGAGGTATAACATCAATTTGGCACGGCAAAAATTGTTGAAATCAGTTTCCTTGTTATGTTTTCGAAAACGAATTATACATTCTCTTCTTCTTTTACTCATTTTCCCAAGGCCGCGTCTCAGTACAATATGCTGGGGTAAATCATAATGAAGATCCTTATTCCCGTGATCGTCGTGCAACAAATCTTTTACGCTGTCATCGACGTGTTTGTCATTTTTTCGATAACTCACTGCATAATTTGCAACGAAAGTTGCTAAACACACATTGTCCAAGCTACTCGGCCTCGCCGAGTATCGGTCAAGTATATTTTTTTGAAATATGTCACTATCTTCGTCTTCCAGTTTCTCCAGTTCTTTTTTTGATTTTAAGATACACTGTCGTTCTGCAACAGGATCAGTGTTTATGTAAATAACAGATCTACTCATTTTTTTCATTGGAATGGATAAGATACGATAACATGCTTCCTGTGTACTTAGTTCTCGATTATTTAAAAAGACAGAGCTTATTCGCCTAGGCATATTTTTTATATCAAAATCCTTATATTCTTTGCATGCATGTTTTAATAGCAACCCCATTCCCTGTTCACTTTTCATCATATACGATGCGACATACATGACACATGCATAAGGATCAACAACATACTGGATATCCATATTGGCTTGCCATGCCTTCAATATCACGGGGTTATATGCGTTGATGAAGCACTCCGCCGGCTTTCTGGCTAGGATAACAGTGTTGCCTTTTTGTGACATACAAAGTGCCTGCCGATATTGTTGATTATCAATATTTTGTAGTAAATCGTCCATACTTACATCCGAACTGGTGTCTCGGTACGACGAAGATAGCGTATCACGGACTTTTTTTAAAACAATTTTAGACTGGGTCATTAATTTACTCTCATCCTCCTCGACTTCTTTTGCAATTATTACTTTTTCACTCGGTGGTTTTGGGTAATTAAATCTACATCCACCACTTTTCCTGCAATAGGAAGAATGACTGTGTGTCTGTAAATCCTGAACGAGGGCTTTCAATGGGAGGTCGTCAACAGGAAATGAACAAGCAACGTGCTTGCTAATGAACGCGCACACCTCTTCATCAGTTTGAATGCCCAACTTTGGGGCCTTGTCAACCCAAAGCAACATATGGGCATGAGGGGAACCTCTGGCTTGAAATTCTATCCGAATCACATAATCAGTAATATGACCCAATGGCTGTGCCGGGGACAATAGTACATCTTTGTACAAGCATTCTAAACGATAGTGAAAGTGTCTAGCTGCGGTAACTGGGTTGGACCTTAACCACATAGACCTCTGCTCAAAGGAAAGCTTAGCTACGTCATCATCCGTTAAAATGGACCCGTACTGTCTAGCAATGGATGAAATTAAGTCTGGCCATCGCATGTCTGCGGCACTTAGTGTGAAGAAAAAATGTAGGAATTCCAATCTGACGAATCATAGCCAGTACATCATAAAATACGCCTTGGAAATAAGCGGGCGAACCTCGAATATTCTGCAGTATTCTGAAAGCTTTATCAGTTTTAATCATGTTATTTATATTATCCGAATTTCGAATAAATCCAGCAGTTATCTCGTTATTTCCGTATTCGTGATTTACTCGACGAAACACGAAGTGGTTGACGTCACCCTGTATCTGTTTGCTTTCAATTGCATACTGGGCGGATAATAAGTATTCAATATTTCGTGCGAATCTTTCGTCAGCATCTAAAAGTCTTTGATTGAAATACTTACGCGGAGTGATTGGAACAACACGATCAGTACTGAAACCATTATTTCCATCCGGATATAATGATGGATATGCTAGTTGTTCGAATTTATCATCGGCCAATAATGGAATCGGTTTTTCATCTTCAGCGGGAGCCATACTGATAATTTTATTACTGATGTCATCATTGACAACCGTTGATTCATACTGTAAACCTCGGACACTTGTTGAATGTTTTAAATCAATCTCATCCTCTTTATTTTCAATTACTGCGCTGCTTATTTCGGGGGAATTACTTTTTGTAACCTTACATCTTTGAATTTTGTGACTGATATCCATAAGTTCCATTTTTGAATAACTGTCTGTGTTCGAATCTGAATATTGTGATTCAGGTTCAAATACAACGTAGTGTTGTTGTCCAATTAGACCTAAATGAAATTCATTTTTATATGAATATCTGGATCGCACAACAATATCATCTCCGTTAGTTTTGTGCACAACAATGCAATGCTATATGCTCGCCCCACTGTGAACCATTTTCCAACTTATTTAAGTAATTTTGCCACATTAGATTATGACGAGACACCGGATTATTAACTTGGGAAATGTGGTAATCGTAATCTGACGGATGCTCCATGTCAGAGCAATAAAGTTCTTCATATCCGACATTGGAACATACAAAATCTCTATAAGCATCTGCGTGTTCAAGCATATATTTGGATAGTTCACGTCGTATTTCGACTGGGGTTTGCAGCGATATGCCAAGACGTACTAAGTGATGGCAGACGGCGTTAAACATACAATTTCCATCTGATGGAACGTTTATCATTTTCATTCCCTGCGTTTGCGAAGTGTTCCATAAATTGCGACTCGAAACGCTACCCGTACATGTCGGCGAATACGAAACATTTGTGGATGATGAGTTTGTTGAACTACGCTTTTTCTCGCTATCAGAGGAATGGCGAGAAGCACACGTTGTTTGAATATCTGGTGCTACGGGAATGTTTTTGACCGATTCATTAGAATTTAACTGCATGTCATCGTTGAGGTCGATAAACATAGCATTCCACAATTCCTCGTCATTTTTTGAAGCATGTTCAATATAATTGTCGTTGATAATGATATCTTTATACAAGAAATTGTTAATTTTCAACCATTTCAGTGCACATATGACTTTATCAATTCGCACATAATCATACAGGTAATGCGATGTGTAGGACAATTTACGTTTTAACTTCAATGGAATCAACTGACATTCAGAGGGCAACCGAGGAAATTGATCACATACGACGTGTAACTTAGAGGGAACATTGACTGCTGGACCGTGAATTCCTCGTTGCTTGCCACAAGGAAGTCCAAGAATTTTCATAAAAGGGATTCGCTGTGAATCAACCGAAGTTCTAGCACATTCAGATCTTTTAAAGCAGCTGGTTGGTCCGCTATCGTCATATTATTCGCTTTAGATTGGCAAGGTATTTTTCCATTCTTTAACGATATGTTCTGCAAATGTACACGTTTCCATCTGGTGACTTAATTTCAAATGATAGAACACATTCAATTATTTTCATGTTTACGTTCTTGTAAGCAGTTTTATTGAGTTTCACTACACTAACTTTGTACTGTAAACGGTGGCATGAAGTGCAGGGAAAATCTGCGCTACTGGAAATATGGTGATGAAATTTCTGTATATATGTAAAGTTTGTGTTATTTTCTCCATGTTGACGAACGTCCGTGGCGCGTTTTTTTATTCGATTTAGACGAGCAGTTTTTTCATGTATAGTTTCCTTCGTTCGTACCTCGGCTGTCCGTTTTTTGTCTTGTTGTAGACGGCCAGATTTTTCTGGAGCCGTTTCGCGCGCACGAACCTCGGCTGTTCGTTTTTTGTTTTGTTGGAGACGGACAGATCTTTCCGGAGCTGTTTCGCGCGCACGAACCTCGGCTGTTCGTTTTTTGTTTTGTTGGAGACGGACGAATCTTTCCGGAGCCGTTTCGCGCGCACGAACCTCGGCCGTCCGTTTTTTGTCTTGTTGGAGACGGACAGATTTTTCCGGAGCCGTTCCGTGCGCACGAACCTCGGCCGTCCGTTTTTTGTCTTGTTGGAGACGAACAGATTTTTCCGGAGTCGTTTCGCGCGCCCGAACCTCGGCCGTCCGTTTTTTGTTTTGTTGGAGACGGACAGATCTTTCCGGAGCTGTTTCGCGCGCACGAACCTCGGCTGTTCGTTTTTTGTTTTGTTGGAGACGGACAGATTTTTCCGGAGCCGTTCCGTGCGCACGAACCTCGGCCGTCCGTTTTTGTCTTGTTGGAGACGAACAGATTTTTCCGGAGTCGTTTCGCGCGCCCGAACCTCGGCCGTCCGTTTTTTGTCTTGTTGGAGACGGACAGGTTTTCCGGAGTCGTTTCGCGCGCACGAACCTCGGCCGTCCGTTTTTTCTTTTGTTGGAGACGGACAGATCTTTCCGAAGCCGTTTCGCGCGCACGAACCGCGGCCGTCTGTTTTTTGTCTTGTTCTCGACGATATATTTTTTTCTGTGTGGTCTCCCATTTTCGCACCTCCGCCATATGTTTTTTAGCCCTATCAAGTCGACATAAGGTACCCATCTCAGTTTCATTTGGGTGCTTTTGCCGAGATTTGTTAACAATACCAGATAGCATTTCTCCGGAAACCAGTGATATCGTGTCACCAATACCATAGCGAGCACTCGCAAGCCACTGTGACAGAGAACGTTCAGAAGCAGCACTATCACTATCCTTGTCATTGAAAGATGTGAGACGAACACTGTCTTTCCAAGTTTGTTCGGCCTTACTTTTAGCCTTTCTCTCCCTCTTTTTAACCTCTAAACTTTTTTTCTTCATCTTGGGCATCGCGTTATATCAAAATATGTAGTAAGTGTGGGATAAGTACGCGTAGGGTACGGTACCTAATGTGTCCCACTGCGACTCAAAGATACAGGGTAACTGGAGACGCGTCCTGTCCCTTGGGTCCCCAAATAATGTCTTCAATCTATGCACCAACTGACCAACACACACTGCAACCTGTACACCAACAATTCCGTAGACTTGTGTTGAAAGAAACTTTATTATCTTGTTTAAACACATCTAATGTTGACGTCAGTGATAACAGTGTTAGGGTTAGTGTCGGCATTAGTGTTAGTGATAAATTGACTGTTTTTGACATGGACTCAAAGAACAGCCATAAGTATGCTATAATACAAATAAAAACAATAAGTGACAGACGTATTCGATACAACAAAAATTACAGCAATCCTCACAACATATCGGACAATATATGGATAAACATAATCATTTCAATTCTAGAATTCCTACCTGATAATCATTTAGTAATATAACCAGAAAAATAGTAAAACCTATAAACTATAAAATCTGCAGTCGTGCAGAATCCTCCCTAATAAGCAAAGCGCAACAAGCGTCTACCTCGTGGCAAGGAAAGTTCTAGAAGGCCGTAAAGCGCGGGGGAATAAGTGACTATTACGTCACAGTAAAGATGGGCAATATAAACTCACAAAGCGTGACTAACTTAAGGTGCTTAAAGTGAAGGACTCAAGGTTCCATAAAACGCATGCAAACATTTCTTACAGTAAGCAACAGCCAACTCCCCACGTTGTCGTCGAAATACTACTCGAGGAAATACTTTTATGAATAAATTTGCAAATCCGAACTGAACCGTTTTGATCAGTTTTCAGCCAGTAGCCAATTTACTACTGAAAATGGCTAACGCCAACTATCCTATAGTATATATTGTGTCAAATAAAACGGCGCTAACCGCAATTGCGACGGCTATTCAACCACAGCCTAGCGATATTTTGGTAAAGAATTAGATTTGGTTTCAGTCAATAGCCTATTTGCCACCGGCAATGGCGACCGTCGACTATCCTATAGCTCTATAGTTTGTGTCAAACGCAAAGATAGTATACGACGGATGGTTCCGATTGTATCCGAATGGTTTTTATTCAATGATTTCAGATCAGTGATGTCGAAGCGGCGTGTAACTGAAATACTTAAACGCTCAACATCGCAGATAGAACAGTGTTACGCACACACACACACACAATCGTATGGAAAAGGGGACCTCCCAAAACAGAAACTGCGGCTTTGATAGCATCGCAGACAGGGCATTGTTACGCACACAATCCCTTTCGATTTCTTCTCTCTGAACCTCTAGCAACACCGTGTGTCCCATCACTAATTAATTAATAACTCGCTAAATATACGACATAATCAACCCAAAATCAATAGGCTTCTGGTCCGAGATATGATGTATGCACATGCAAAATTTGGAGCAGATTCAACCGCATTCTCGCGAGATATCGCAGTCATCTAACAGACACACAGACAGACAGACATACATACAGACAGACATACATACAGACAGACATACATACAGACAAATACCTATCAATATACTTACCGATCTTAAGATCGATAAGAAACAAGCAGAAATGACGAAGAAGGGTGGCACAGACAAACAATATTACGTAAGAATGTAGCCCAGGGAAGAACAACCTTTTAGCAATTGGCGGCCACATTGCATTTATCTGTATTCAATACGGCCTCCAGGGGGTACATGCTTTTATGACGTCATAACCGTGTATTTGACCCATGCGAGGTGCAGTCTGCCCAATTATGAAGTATGTAGGACTACTTGGCAGTATAATATTCGAAATTCAAACGGATTTTTCTTTTTGGTGGACCTATTCTTGAGCAAATATATTGCAGCAAGTTGCACAATTTTGAAAAAAATCGAAAGTCGGGGAGGGGGGAGGAGCGGTCGCCCCCATTATTTCCCCAAAAGTATATTTAAACGTCAAATATTCTAATGAATTTTGTTCAAAAAATGTTGCAAAGCATGGTAGCAATTTAATGACTCCCTTGGTCTTGCACGTGGGTTGCCGAAACGCGTGTTCAATCTGAACCGTGAAGTTAAATCCCCAACAGCAAATACACCATCCAGATTGTGATGCATCGTGTCGTCTGACTTTTTTGCAGTACTTCTGTTTTGTTTCAATATACGCCAGCATAGCCGCCAAATCCTATATTTTGAACTTTTTTTTTATAGGATTGTGTATGAGGACGGCCGCATTATTTTTTTACGACGGCGCATGCGGCCGTACGACCGCAGGTTGTGCACCGTTGATGTAGCCAAATGAATGCTGCGCTCTTCTCTACAAAATTTCGCGAAAGCTCGCTAATTTGTTACGTCATAATATATTTCTTTGTAGCCATATGTCATGGAAGGACGAAGAAAGTTCAAATAAATAACGGATTGTTAACGAGCGACAATGAATAAACGGGCACCTAGTTTCATCAGATAATTCAGAGTCTTGAAAACTTTTTATCTGAAGAAGAATGATCTCGTTTCCGAGGCCTGCTCGCGTACCAATTAAATGCGCTCGCGTGCCAAGTTTGGCACGCGTGTCAGAGGTTGCTCACCCCTATTCTTAGGCTAAGCACTTGTAAAACATTGAGCAAGACTATTCAACGACGCATATACAAGTCAATATTGAAAAATGTCTACAATACAACAAGCATAGTGATGTGTTTAATTAATTTATGGCTATCAGAAATATGCAGTTGGCTGGAATAAGGAGGTCTAACCAGTGGTTCCCAAACTTTTTAGAGTTGGGACCCACTATTTATTACCACAGCTTATGGCGACCCACTTAACTTTAATTTAATTTTCTACTGTTACTTTTATGACATAACACAGAACACAGCAATCATCGCAAAACTACATTCTTTCCTCGAAAAAGGGCCTGGCCTGAAAATAAGATAATGATTTGAATTTTAAAAATGATTTTAATTGAACCCAACCCTTAAAATAAATTTAAAATGTGTGCGAGAGGAAAGGTTCATTGACCTGAGGTAAGGTGAAGATGACACCAGTATTCAAGATTGTGTGATGTCACAATTATGATATTTGTCACTTGATTTTTGTAAAGGAAATGAAAATAAAAACAATGTGTGTCGGTTTTATATAATGTTTAGTAAAAAATCTTGTGATTTTCTACAATGTAATTTATTTTTGATAAATGAACACAAAAGGCCTCTTCTAAAAAAAAACATAGTGTTATTCTTCAAAAGAAAAATAAATCTAAATCCTGTCTAAATTTCGGGGAAACACGGTAACAAGTGCTGTACAGTGTTTAAAACTGCTATGCGTAAAAAGCCACATGGTCATTCTTTGTGTAGCAAATTTTTGTTCATTAAAGAAGATCGTAAAGCGGAAACTTTCACAGATTAGAATTTAAATTCAATTTAATTTTTTTTTTTTGAATATTTACATATTCGAGTCACCACCGATCCTAATAACCAGTATAATTAATCAAAGCTTCCTACATCTTTTCACGA